GACCACACTGATTAGGGTTAAGCACTTAGAATAGTGGGTTAACGGTTAGCTTCTTTTTAGGGTTAGGGTTTTCGCTACAGTAGTTAAATTACTCCAATTCTCTGTAGCGAATATTCGGTGGTGTAGTAGTTAGGGCTTGAGACTACAAATGTAGCACTCCTGGATCGATTCCTCATCGTAATTCGAAAAATTTTTTTCCTTTAAAATTGAAGAGACTTGCACTTTGACGACATTTGTTGAGCAGAAACTAAGTCTCTGAGTCAAGAAACTTAGAAATTTCATGTACGTGTAAGTGAAAAGGGAGAGGGCGGTTTGAGATATGGAAACAAGGCGGATGTTGATCGAAAGCGGAAAAGGTGAACTACTGTAGTTCCAGTCCTAACCCCATCACAGCTGAACCAGCGAGGGTTCGAGAGGGTTTCAACGCCCTGTTTTCAACACCCGAAGAGAGATTTCGTATCTCCGTGCGGCCATGTAATATCCTCTATGTAAAAAATTATTTACTATGTATCTGCTAGATTTTTAATAAGTATTTTTATCCAACTGCCACAGGATTAGCTCAGTCGTAGAGCGCTTGGCTGCAGAGCGCAAGGTTGAAGGTTTGATTCCCGGAGCCGGATAAGCTGCAGGCCCCCGTTGTTCAGAAGGTGGATAACACTATCCACTGGATAATTCTCTTTCCAATGGATAAAATAATTGGTTTTCCTAACATTTATCCAAAGGACAGCGCTATCCAGCTTTTTAACAACTGGGGCTACTGCTTTAATTTGCCCTGAAATGGCGAGACCTTTGCATGGCTCAGATGAGCACATACAATGACAGTCTCGTCCATTGAAGGAGATGTAAAAATGGTGTCCTCAATGTCAATTCAAGATGTCAATTGGTACTTTAGTGCCAAATACGTTGACACTCAAATAAAGTGCTTTTTTGTCTTATTGATAATGATATGATATAGCACTGAGTGATTTTCATTTGACCTTGAAGTGATAACACACGAACAAAACTTGAACAACTAGTGAACAGGAAGATAAGAATTTGATTGGCTTATCAAAAATGCGCAGGCTTTTAGTTGGCTTAGCAGTGAACAGTTATGAATGTGAAGCATTATGGAGTTAAAGTTACTACGTCATGCTATTTGCAAAAATGATGTCTTAGTTTTCTTATTTAAGACTATTTTTAGTCAGTGAAACTGTTTCCTGATGTAATAATAATAATGATAATAGCAGGAGCCGATAAATAGTCATTTATACAGCACTTTTTCCATAAATTTCCAAAAGGGCTTTACAGTGTGCATAGTAAATTAAACTTACAAAAACCTAAGACGAAATTTACAAGCTCATCACTGGCGTAATAATTAATTGAAATACCATATATAACTATAAAAGATTGGCATACGCCTGTCGAAAAAGATACGTTTTCATCTGTTTTTTAAAACAATTTTAAGTCGCACATAATCGTATATCGTATCTTTGGTAAGCAGTTCCAAAGAGATTGCGCGGAAACTGAAGCTTACCGAAAACGATCTGTAAAACCACACGAACGTAAATTATAATGTGGTATTTTCAATTTCTTGTCGGTTGAGGATCTAAGATTATGCTGAGGTATGTATGTGTATTGAAACTTGAAAAACTTGGTCCAACTTTTTCAAGTTTTCATGCAACACCTACAAAAATGACCAAAACAACTTAATGGGTAGTGCTCTCTGATAAAATTGTTTGATGTCTTCTTGCTAACTCTATAGGAGCATTTTGTGTATTGCTAAAGGCGGTATATACGTAATGACTTGAGCAGAGAATTGACCGAAAATAGCAATATCCTCGTGACATAGCCCCTTTAAACTGCTAAAGAAAGAAAGTTTATCATCATCGTCGTCATCGTCAGTGTCGTCATCATCGTCATCAGTGTCGTCATCATTATGGAAGACTTTATTGTAAAGCTATCATCTGTCATAAAAAAACTCTAGATTTAAAGTATTGGTTGGCTCTATTGCTAGGTGCAAGTGTTACTCTTCAGCCCGACACCATATTTAACATACATGTAAAAAATAAACTCACAAAAGCAAACAAGTGTCTCCACAAAATCTCCATAAATCGCTTAAAGGCTGTAGGCTCAGGTTACCGCGCAGGCCACTGCCGAAGCAAATCACCGTCTTGAAGGTTGGAGCCGTTAAGGATGTCAAAGATCGAGGCGTGGAAAAAAAGATCATCAGAAAGGAGACCGTTTTTCGAGAGCACTAAGTCAATGGCGACATAGTTTATTGAGAGGTTATTGCCTCTAGAGTCACCTTAAGTCTACAACCAGGTGCAGCAAGACTTAAAACTGTATCTTATTTTGTTTTATTTTATAAATGGCCTGTCCATAATGTTGTGTTTGAGATCCCCCCTCCTCCTTTTGTCAAAGTCGCTAGCGAAAGCAAGACCATGCTTAAAACCTGGAGGAACAACTTTGAATAAAGCGGAGGAGGAGGTTGAGTGTTCATATCACAGATGTGAGACTAGCAGCATTTGAAATAGCAAGGTCGGTTTTTCGATTCGTCCAAGCGTCTTAAAATTTTTGCAATTTGTTGTAAGTTATTGCGCCTGCTCTTATTTCTTACCAAAAGAGAATATCGGGTCCTCTCCCTAAGCCTCCCCAGAGGACAATCATACTCTACCCATCCCTGGATATATTAAGTTTTGAGCTGTTTTGTCTACAACACACGAGTCTCAAAGGAGCTCGTGTGCTGTTCGATGGACCCGCTTCAAGGGAAACGGATATTCTGTATATTTATATCAGTTTTTGGAAAAGCGTAACATTGGATTTAGCAGATACGACAAGAACATGAGGTAGGTGTAAGGTCTTTAAATAAGCTGATGGGAATTTTACATGACTCTGCGTATGGTGACAAAATTCTTTGGTCGCCGAGAGTGAAGCAGTGTGACATTTTATGGAAGACTAGGCAGAAAACGTATCTCGCAATAAACGCTTCAAAACAACCAGCAATGTTCACAAACTGCAGCATTTACCGCAAGGAAATATGACAAATCATTTTTATCTCGAATTGGTTAAAATTTGTGACAAAATGAGAATGTTTTAAAGCCAATTCTGAAATTTTGTAGATCTCATTATCATGCAGGACACGTGTATGACAAAACAATGGTAGAAATTGCAATGTAATTTTGCGCTACTCTTGCCATCATATCGGACAAAACGCGTTATTTTCAAGTTTTTTTTCTTACTATGCACGATAATATATGACATATATAGATTTAGCCACGACTTAAAGCGACGCTCTCGTTAATACATTTACAGTTTACTTAAACAAAATTTAAAATCGTGTAATGCAAAAGCGGCGAAGGCAGCGGCAACGGTAAACAAAAACAAAAATAGTCCTAATTAGCCAAAAAAGCAACTTTGCAAGTGCATCACACATTTTTATACAATTCTTTGCCGTTGTTTTGCACGATTATAACAGCGTGAAACGTCCTAGCTACACGTTTTATTGAGGAAATGTCGTATGTGTTCCTGTTCGCTTTTTTTGTCCTTCACTGCGGTTCATTTTCACCTTGATGGCCGCTAGCATTTTCCATTTTCTCACCACCGCTATAAAATTTTCATGTTTTTCTTCTAACTAAATTCGTCTCCTTTGTCTACGTCAGGGTAAACATTAAAATATATTCGAAAAAAGACTCGGCTCAGTTCTCTCTAAAAGTCTTGGTGGCCATGCGATTTACTACTAATATGCGCGGGTGCTTGAAATGCGAAATTTCACCCCAGCTTATATGAAAGGCTGGACGTACGGACGCACGTAGCTCCGCTAAAAAACAGCACTTCACTTTAGACAAAGGAAACAATTACTGAAAAGTGTCCGCAATTGGATTTACGCATTTCCAATTTCTTCTTTTCTGGACTTTTATTCACCCTCTTACTCAGCGTCTTCGTTCCCCTTGATCAGCGGTCGGGAAACGTCAAACCAGCATGCGCAGTAAGCGACGAAGGCTAGTTTTCTTAAAAGGCTCGAGATACACGAGATTTGACCTTTTTACGCTTAATTTCGGGAAGAAAAGTTTTGACGAGAACATTGAGAAATATGAAATTTCTCAAAGAGGGTAATGGTGAGTCAATAAGACAAAATATTAGTTTAAATTTGCCAGACGACGAAAATTTTTAACATAAATGTTATTTTGGGGTGAGTATCTATGTTCCGCTTGAGAACAAATTGATCACATTTGCGACGATCACTTGCTTCAGAAAATTCTTCTTTAAAGTTATTTTGTCTTTAGAAGTATGGGTCATGCCGCTTTGCATAGGTGGAACTATCCATACTATTTGCTAAGCCTCCGAAGTTTGCAAGAGTATTTATGGCTCTTAAGAGTGGTAAGCTTTACGTTTCCGACTGCCAAATCTGATGTTGTTCGCGCTGTCAAAATCCTGCCTTTACCGATGAAGCGTTGCCTACAATCGTAGAACATGAGCATGCATTTCCGATTTTAAAATAAGCTATCCTCCCAGTCTGGGGCTATCGTTTCCTTACCCCTTTAACTCCAATATCGACATCACCATACATTTCCATGAAAAATTAATCGGCCATTTCCGAGTTCCCTCGGGCCTCTGTATCAAAACGAGGTTAAGTGCTCAGCTTTTGATATGGAAATGATTTTTTATTCTCATCCAAATAAAACTCATTTTCACAAGAAAGGTTGTAAACTTGGCCTCATTTTGAAAGTGAGGGTTTTTGGAACTCGGAGGTGGCCTATTGAGAGAATTGTTAAAAGATCAAAGCATTTTCCCTTTGGTGATCATTTGATTAGTTCTCATAACCCTTCTCTCGTTGATGTATAGATAATGTTAGGAGAAATTTGATGTTGGTCACTCTTGGGACGTAAGGAGCTAAAAAAATGGCCTTATTACAGGCTATAAGCACATGAAAAACCGGTGAAAGGAAATGAAACTTATTACTGGTTATGGAGAATCATACTCGAATTTTATTAAATATTTTCTTTGGTCGTCAAAACTCTGGGCTAACAGCACTTTTTTGTTGATTTTACTGTCAACTTTCCTTTGATTTCCTCGAATTTTTGGGTCTTTTTTACAAAACCTGCATCAATCAGGTTGTATGCCATTTCTAATATAGTGGTCTTTAAATCTGTGGGCTTGAAACCTTGGTCAGCTTGTATCTAAAAGGGAAGACAAGTTAGACAAAGCTTTAGGAAATGTGTTGAGCACTGTCAGTTTTTTCGATTCAATATACGTTTCTGGAAAACTGCCCACCTACCCCTCCCCTAAGCCAACATGCCCTAAGTGAGAAGCAAGTGTTAATGTTGGCTTAGGGGAGGGATAGATGGGCAGTTCCCTGAGGGGTATACTATAATGCTCCGTTTTATCTCAATCAAAAGCAGGACTTCGTCCCGTGCAGTGACGGATCCAGGGGAGGGGTCCGGGGAGTCCGCCCCCTCTTATTCTTAGGCCAAACTGAGGTCCAAAAGGACGCAAAAAATTTTCTTGGAGACCGCCCCCCCCCCTTTCAAAATCCAAGTAATTTTTTCTTGTCAGTAGAATCCGGAATGCGGAAACCAGGGCTTTGGAATCTTTAACTTCCAAAACCTGCTATAAAAAACGATTGAAAACCGGAATCCAAGATCCATTGACCACGAATCCGAAATTCAGTTCCTGGAATCCAAAATCCACAACATGGAATCCAGAATGTAATTCTGTCAAGGATTACTTATTATCCGGGGGGGGTTACTTCCTTATAAGTGGCTAATGGGGATGTGCCGCTGGGTGGGGTCGCATTTTGATGACTGGATTGACTATAATGGGGTCGCATTTTCAATAGAGTTACTGGAATGGGGTCGCACAAAATCGAATTTTTGGGCGTAAGACCGTTCTTCATATTTATGGTTAGCAAACGTACCAGAATGTTTGTGCTGTAGATGAAAAGTAAAGAGTTCTTCATTCAATTTAAGAAATGGCCCAATTCATAAAAATAGAAAGTGACTAAGTTAGGATCGAGAAAATTACATATTTGCCCAAAAGTGACTAAGATGGGGTCTATAATTGGCCTCAGAATAGGCTATAATGCTATAATGGGGTAGGGGCTCTGAGAGGCCAGCGACACGTACCCAGCAAAAATTAACCCAAGTAGCCTCCCGGTCTTATCATACAAGAGGCGAAGAACTGAAGATGTAGTTGGGAAGACAGCCAAAAACAAACAAAAAAACGATCAATTTTTACCCCCATCCCTCGTTCAATATTGGATAGTAAAAGAAGAATTTATTGTATGATAAAGGAAATCGGGAAGCTTCCTCTAATGCTTTTGGATGAAGGTGAAGATTTGTGTACTCTACAAAGTCACCAATAAAGGCCTGCGTATAGCCTTTGCCTTCTAAAAATTTCCATCATGCTCTGGGTATTTCATTTAAACAATCCACTGAGGTAACTATCAAACTCACATGCAGGAACCAGTTAGCATGTATGATTGCTAATTTTTATTTACTAAGCATGCACATACCTTTGAACTGTCCATCTTTAATTTATTTTGAATGCTGGGGTCCACTACCTTTATCTCACTTGGCACATCATAGCCTTGAAAGAGATGATAAATGACATCAAAGTTGGGTTGAGACTACTAGTAGTCCGCATTTTTCCTCAGGGATAGCTAGAGAGAGCGAAGCAGCACAGCAAGTGAAAATCACCCCACGCGAGAAAAGCGAGAGACCCTTTCACGAAATTTCATTTGACGCTCAATTGAAAACCCGCACTGATATAGCTAAAATCTCATTCCCCCGAGCAAGTTTGCGTTATGACAAGTTTTCCTTGGAAGTGTAAATTAAAAAATCAAAAGGCAACTTTCCCTTGACATCAAAAGAATTTTTTAATGAAGATATGAACGTCGCAGATGCAATAGCAATTTAAGCCATTGCAAATCCGAACAATAATTGGGCTTCAACGGGATTTTAATCATTGGTCCCTGTGTTAGAGCTGCAGTGCTCTATCAGCTGAGCTACTGAAGACCCAAACAGTAAGAGCAGGTCAATTGTTCTAGTTCATTTTAACCGGAGAAAGGAATGAAGTTAGATTGAAGATGATGAGAACTGCGGAAAAACAAATTTAAATAAATACAGTGGAAATACGGGAGGTTCGAAAAACCAAGGTAAAAAAAAAAACAAATTCGAGCGTGTGACAGAGAAGTAAGTTCAGTTTTGATTTGAATTATCGGAAGTTCGAAAAAGGTGGCTTCTCCCTTTCCTAAGACTGAACTTACCAAGAGGTCGAAATTCCTCATCAAGAACTTTCGCTACTTCCTCGAACCACCAGCAGCCTGTTATGGTAATATATCTATTGCCTGTGACAAGAAAAAAGACAAAAAATAATGTTCGCTTTGAAACAGAGGCTTGGAACAACTGGGAAATAACCCATTGTAGTGATACATTTTACTTACGAGCCTCATGCCCAGGTTCCTCCCTCTGCTTAGTAATAGAGAGGTCCTGGGAATGAGGTTGTTTGCTTACCAGACGCTTTAGGAGACGTCATAGCTGTGATATGTGCTGCAGCCACATCTCTGACGTCACTTATTGGCAATGACATCTTAATCACATATGGCACTACACGTTCAAGCATACTCCGCACAAACTGAAAAAAGAAAGATATATTTTTAAAAATCATCACCATCATAACATTATGAGTGGTTTATGCACCTATCAATGTAATGCCGGCGGGGGGGGAGGCAGGGCATGGGGTGGGGATTTGACTGTCTTTGTTGTCCCTGGGGTAGGGCATTTGACTGATCTTGTTCTCCCGGGGGAGGGGATATTTGAATCTTTCTTCACCCGACATGGAGATATTTGACTGCGGACTCGGACGAAAAAGACTGAGACCGAACATATGTTTCCCGCTTCCACGCTTCACCCATGCGCCATACGGTTTGAAAAGATCAGGAAGTCATGGAGGCCAATGAGAACAAGCGAAGGCTGAGTGGATTTCACTGTTTTGTCTTCAAATTTCGTTTGTTTTAGCGTGTTTTTGATCAATTGAACCTCTTAACTAAATATACTGTGGTATCAAAGTAAACGGAAGAGAAACCAAGTCGATTTTTGCAAGTACAATTGATTAGTGTATGGCTCATTCGCTACAATCACTGTAAACTTATAAAACTGACTTTCTTTTTACCCTTTACTAAGAACGGTATATTTAGACTTACAAAATGTGGACTTTCTCTTAAAGGTTTATGTATTCTACGCAGTGTAACACGGATTATGGTTAAAACGTATAATTGCAGCTGTAACAGGAACATATATCTTTAGTGATGCAGAAACGTTTATAAAAGATTGCAGAGTTTTATTTGGAGATATTTTTATTGTGCCTTTCTTAGGTTCTGCCTTGGGATTGACAGCAATGTGCAGCCTGGGGTGGGGAAATTTGGTTGGATTTGACTGGAATGATTTGCCCGTGGGCAGGGAATTTGATTGCAAATTTTTGAAAAAAGTCAAATCCCCACCCTATGCCCTGCCTCCCCCCCCGCCGGCATTACATTGATAGGTGCATTATTATGATAAGACCAAATTCAGTTCATTCAACTTTGCCCGAGTTTTAGCCTTTCTCTCCAATGGGCTACATGAATTTTCTATCGGCTGAAAATTCATGCGTTTAGGTATTCCGTTAATACGGAACTACCTGAAGCCGACGAATATTTAGACGCCTACCGTTCAAAATTCCGCGAGAACAGAGAGAAAATATCTCATGGCCCCCCTGTGAACGAAGTGTCCTGTCAAATTTTTTTTGCCGGTCGAAAATTCGTCCCCCGCCATGTGAACGTAGCCTCATAAAGCCTCCTTTCACATCCAGGGAACACTCGGCTAAGTCCACTTCAGTCATACATTTCAGTGGCGGATCCAGGGAAGAAGCCGAGGGGGCTCGGCCCCCCTTTATTTACACGAAACTGAGACCCGAAGGGCTGAAAAGAAATTTTTTTGAGACCGGGCCCCCCTTTTATCTAAGGGTCTGAATCCGCCATTGCTTTTTTTATGGTTCTTTACCAAGTTGTTTCGAGTCTATCCCTACTTCAGACCTGGCGTTTCCACTTCAGGGACATTTATATGTCTTACATTGTTAATCGTTATTCTCTTAACGAGGCCCAACCCTCGACCACCTTCAGATTTGCCTTTGCCTTCAAATATATTGAAATACAAGTACCTCGATACTTGTGCAAGAAGATCCGTGCAACACTGGTCCAAGAATCAATCCTGGATTGATACAACACAGCTCAAATTTTTCATCATCTAGAAGGAGAATGGATAAGTCAGTGAATGAATGGAGATTTTAATGGAAGAAAAAGGAACAGGTGCATCGTGAGGGCTGAGAATAACGTCCCAAAAGGGCCACTTAAATCTCTCTCATGTTGTTTATAAGGGAAATTTGATACAATTCTGACAGTTGTTACAGAATGCAACAGAGCAATACCTCCTAGTTATTGAGGGACATATGACTCTTTTTACAACTGTGTCATTTACAGCGAACTGATTTGTTCTTGATATATCCTCAAAGACGCACAGGGTAGCTAATTGGAATGAGGTCAGTATCAAGAGCCTTCATGGCTCTTGGTCAGTATTTAAGGGCGAAAGTATTGAAATGTTTAAACGAAGAACAAGAAAAAAGCCCATTTTATCGAATCAATACGAGGAGCATTTACGAGGAGCATTCGGTGTATGCTTATGAGTTTATAATATCCCAATACTTTTAGAACTGGTTCAGTAATACGCCAATTCCGAGTTCCAAAAATTCTCACTTTCAAAACGTGGCTAGGTACAAAACCTTGCATATGAAAATAAGTATTAGTTGCATGAGATTAAAAAATCATTTTCATAGCGATAGCTTCGCACTTAGCCTCGCTTTAAAACAGAACCTTGTACAACTCAGAAATGGTCTCTTATGTGCCTAAAGTCCTTCTTAGGCCTTAACTTTTCATGAGACGAACCAAAGCTAAAACAAGCGCCACTGAGTCGTAGTCATCACTTACCCGGCGGCACCGTACAAAAGACTTATTGACCGAATCAAGCAAAACTAACTGCGAGAGAACGATAGGACAACTGACAATTTGACTACAATAAACAATAAACGACTGTTTATACTGTGACAACAAAAGGATCGAAACGCACCTATGACATTACAAGTCTTCAAAGCCAATAACATCACGGCGTAACTGACACACCACTAACAACATCGCGACTTAATTGACCAATCAGGTCAGTAACCAGATTTTAATACCATCAACTGACGTGATACAACTCAGTTTGACTCTGAAGATGACTACCGCCATGAGAGAATGATCAGCTCATTCTCTCTTGCTACCGCACACGTTGTAGAAACGTCACTCACTGTCAACAACAACAGTCCTATTTAGGACTACGTTCACCGGGGCGATCATACTCAACATACTTAGTGAGTTAAGTTAATTAACTGGCTCAGTTAAGTTCGTCTGAAGGAGTTTGGATCGTCCTACAGGTTCTATCCGCCTGCTTCAGACGGATAGAACGTCTGAAGATCGTCTCCGGGACAAACGTCGAGTCACATGCGACGAACTTAACTAATAAATTGAAACTTTGTATGATAATGTGTATTTAGCGTCTTTCTGGAGAAATTGATTACTATACTGACCGGCCAAAATTGCTTTTAATTTTGGTCTGATTAAGTTGATTGGTTCGACGCGTCCTAAGCTCGACATCTGGCCCAAGAGACGATCTTAACCTAATTTAGGTCGACCCAAATTAGGGTTTGGTTGGTCTCAAGAAAAGTTCGACGTTTGGCCTATACCTTATTCTTCTTTAAACTCAGTTTTGCCTGCAATGATTTCGCCGGCGTATATTTTGCAGTGTCGGTGACTGAGCTACCCCCACGTCTCCGACGACGTTCTTGATAATGAAGTTACACATATCGAACGTCCAATCACAGTTATTTAATCATTACTTCCCGTAGATACTCAGGGTGCGTTCGACTGGTAAATCTGGATTTAGATTTTAAAAACCGGATTTCGGATTTGCTATCGAACGCGAAATCCGAAAACGGATTTCAACGCTGAGATATCTGATTTGGATTTTCATTTTTACCGTTTGATTGGGAAACCCGAAAAAGGATATGAAAAACTGTCCTTAAGAACAGCGGTCTCGCGCGCGCACGCATACATAGCAAAAAGAAGACCACTGTTCACGAGAATAGTTTTGCACATCCTTTTACGGATTTCCCAATCGAACGGTAAAAAGGAAATCCATGAAATCCGGATTTGGATTTCTTAATTGAAATCCACCCTGAGGACGGATTTCTAGGAGGTGAAATCCGGTTCGATTGGGAAATCCGGATTTAAATCCGGATTTCCCAATCGAACGCACCCTTAATATCAAAAACGGAGTATTCGATACCTGGCAAATTCTTCACCAGTTCCCAAGCTGCTTTCTCAGCGCGGCGCTTGCTCTTCTCATAAACGGTGCCCTCCTTTTCTAATGACCAGTCTTTCTCGGTAAAGAAGTGATCCTCTGAGAATCTACCAGCTTCAAGCAAACACATACATCTCATTAAATTAAACACTCAGTTTCCTTTTCATTTATGCCACTTTACATCTCGATTTTTACTTAGCTTTTTGCATCCCCTAACAGAAAGTTTTCTCAAAAAGAAATCATTCGGCAAGAATTTAATTATCATTTTTAGTCGTCACATCAGCCTTGAGTTTCGTCTTTAGCAGTAATTCTTTTTGATATTGCTGATGCTTTTCTGCATTATCTTGACTTTATAGACCATATCATATCCACGATGATTACCAACTGAAACTTGATATTTTGTTAGCTTACTAATTACAATTTTCATAAAAATTTAGTCAACCCAGCGTCGTTAAAAAGACAATAGGCCTAATGTGCATAAGAAAACAAAATCTTGAAAGATAACGTCATGTGCCTGTAAAGATAAAGTTCTGTTTTTACGATTTGTCACGACGCAATGGAGAAGGACAACTACCCTGAGAAAACAGCCGACATTCCTCGACGCCACCACTGGTTTCCCAGTTTCCCCGACTGAAATGACGTCTGACTCGGAGAATCCATACTGATGATTAGTCACTACCCAGACCTGGGTAGATGCTTCTGATTGGCTGAAGCAAATTAACAACCAATCAGAAGAACTACCCGGATCTGAGTAGTGACGCGTCATCAGTATGGAATTTCCGCGCTCGTTTCTCTGACGTCATTTCGCGGGGAAACCATGCAAGTGGTCGTTGCAAAATGTCGGACGTCTTTCTCAGGCTAAGGACTACTACGCTTTTACCAATAATTGCGGCACAAGAACTTGTCAGTACAACTCTTTTGACCTCTCCCTTCGTCTTTGCGCAGGCCTCAAGCACATTCCGCGTTCCTTCCACAGCAGGACCTATCACCTCCATCTCGTCTTTTGGATCTTCCATAGGGAAAGGGGATGCCACATGAATAACAAAGGTACAGTCTTTAACCGCACTGTTAATAAAATGACCAATAAAGCCACATTTTACAATAACTGATGGACAAAATTGCTCGTCTGTTCATCAGCCCAAAGCTTTGGAATTGCTACTTTCGCATTGTCCCTAACACACCTTGTTTGGCCCCAAAAATTTTGCATAAGCATTGTTTTCCGTACAAGTTTTAAAACTGTAACATAGCATCTGACTGTGCTAATAAAATATAGGTACTGTACCTGCATTAAGCCTGATAATGCAGCTATGGTAAAAAAATAGCTGGCTGCATCAGAAGAATTATCAAACTTTTAACAGTAGGAACTGACATAAAATTGAGTGAAACCAAAAAATGCCCATCTAAATATTTAAAGAAGGTATAGATAACCTAGATAACATACCAAATACAAATAAAGGCACGGATGGACAAACTTTAATTGGTACGGATTGTAACTGTGGGTTTTGTAAACTATTAGCCTAGCTGTGTTTCAAAGTTTATTTTTCATATTTGTAGCATTTAATAAAATGCTTGGGAGACAAATTTGTTGAAAAGGAAGCTATGATTTTGCCTTTTGAAAAAATTGTCTTGGCTAACGATAAGTTCCATAGCATATATTAAGAAGGCGTAATTGGTATCAATATCATATCAACAAATTGTTGAACTAGGCAGCAGCCGGTATATATCTTCAAACCCAGAATTTTTCCTGTTTTATATAAAGATCATCCCATAAGGTGCACACTTTATATCCTCAGACTACTCACTCTGGCCACGTTTCTTTCTTCAGCAAGTCTGCCTCGACTAATTCCAGCGGGTATTTCGCGTTTTCCGGACAAAGATCTTTCAATGGCTTAACCTTCTTCTCGTTTGCAAGGCTTCGTACGGTTCCCCGAACGATATATTTACCTGACTCGACTAGCTCTTTGACAATATGCATAGCCACGAAGCCAGAAGCTCCTGTTACGAGAACGCGAGACATGTTCCTGGTGGTGGTGTACGAAAATGTGCCAGAAAATTTAAGTTCGACTGTTTTGCCGGTGCACGAAATGTTAGGGGAGCCACGAAAATTAACTTCGACTTCGGACAACCGGAAAACACAGACCCCCCTGGTTGCAAATATCGCTATTATGCCAAACGCCTTGCTTTAAAGCTTTCTTTAAGTACAAAATTTCGCAAAATGACTTCTGAATTTTTGCAGAGTAAGATTAAGATATTGTTCTTTAAGGAAGGCAGCTGGGGGTGGGGGAGGGACGTTCCGTCATCCATTGAAACAAAACCTGAACAAATATTACACAAAATATTATACGGTGCACAATAATATATTAAACAATGGCCATAACAATATTTACGCTGCACTGATATGCACGATTAACCGTCAATTAACTGGCAAACAAACAAGCGTAAGTGGTTTAAATAATAATGATAACAGTTTTTAACTTAAAGTGTTCGTTTATTTAAGGCCTTAGTAAGTGGGCCAGGTCAGGGATACCCTGCGCGGCAGGTTAAAGAGTTGGACACGCTGGCGAGCGCGACGCAGGTTACATAGGTCAAGGAAATATGAGTTGTCGTGTCGGAAATCTTTCGTACGTCACCCAACACTTAAAAAAACTTCGGGCTTTTTTAAAAAATGCATAGTCATTCTTTGCGTGCACTGAAGTATATCATCTCAAATAGATGAAACAATATCACTCTCGACTCGACAATCAACATCTCGCATTAAAGTAATCCATACAAAATTTCTCTTTCAGATTTATCTTTGTCGTGATAAAAAACGTTTAAGTTTCACTTCAGACGTCCAAGGGGTCTCTGTTTAAGAGATACTCAGGGGTTTGAGGTCTGAGTTTTCGTGACATCCCGTAATTTTGTTTGACATTGCGTAAGTAAGATTAAGAATAGACAATCTGCTGACGCAACCTCCAATAATAGTAGAAAAATATTTGAACGAGAGAATACTTCTTCAGTTTATGCTTATAGTTTATACGGTGAAGACATTACACCCTGGATAAAACGGACACGTTGGCGTGTCCCTTTGTAGCCTCCAGCGCAGACATTCTTGGGGTTATGCGCTATCTAGCCTGCGTCTAAGACACTCTAAACTTTCTTGACAAACAAATGATTTCGACGATGCGTGGGCCGGCTGCAATGAAAACGCAGGCTATGCGCTATCATTTATACACTTTCGTGCCGTAGGAGACTTCGTCACGCGTTGCTGACCCACGAAGCCTAAGGCTAGTCAAAAGCTCGATTCCGGCCGCTCTCTCGGCTCAGCCTTGTTCCTCGAAGTGACAGCGTCCATTCGCGAGTGGAGCGCGGGCTTAATACCCGAACAGCGGCCGGTAATGTACCTACCCGAGAAAAGGCTAGCCCAGTTGGTATTGCGAAAACCATTGTTGGTTGGCCTTTGTGTTGGGGTGTTGGTATTGTTTATTGTCTTTTCAATCTTCTGTATTACGTCATTTGGTGGTTGCTTCCGTACGAAACACCAAGAAACTACATTAGCCCGGTTACAATGTACACGGGTTTTCCTATCACCCTAAAAAAATCATCCTCAAGAAAGCAATTCCGAAATTACCTGGTCCGATTTTGGACTGAAAATACGACAGCAACAAAGAAGTAAAAAGGAAGACAGGAAAGGGGAAACCGTGTAACAGGTTTAATTTTCAGTAAGACTCATCCTTTTATAACACAAAACAGACCAAACTAAACGATTGAATACCGTCCCGAGCGGTGAACTCCCCTAGCTATAAAAAGTGGTGAAGGTGTATGGGTTGATTACTAATTTTTCCGTTCGTACGTGCGTAAAATTTACGTTCGCAGATGAAATAGAGGCAATGCATGAAAGCCCGCTCGTAAGCGTAAAAGTTGAACCTCGCTCAACTTCTCGTGCTCAGCACTTTTTATCTTGCCTCTATTTTATTTTCGTGATTAAAATTTACGTGCGTTAACATGCGTAACCAAAAACGCGTCAGTGGAAATCAACCCATAGTGGTACCCACTCTCGTACCCAGAGCCCTCGCGACAGTGGAAATCCACCTTAAATTTTATAGCAGAGTTCTCGGGAGAAGCATTTTCGACAGTCCACAGTAAAAAAGCAGCTTAAGATTCTCCTTGTGTAATCTCCATGATTTAATCAATGGGCAGCTGCCTTTCCTCCTTTGATCTCCTCGTACTTAGGTGTCTTCTTAATAAAGCCAGACTCAATCAGATTGTAGGCCATTTCGATCACGCTTGCCTTGAAGTCCCGTGGCTGGAATCCTAGATCTGCCTTTACCTACAAGGAATGTTAGAAGAATCAAGAATTGCTAGAGAATTCCATAATTCGAATTCGTATTCCCCATTATACACTCTGCTTGCCCCAAAGTTTGCATAATAAATTAAACTGTTGCTTTCAAAGACTTCAAATGCTCTTGGAGGATTAAATATTCCCAAGAACATTTAAAACAATAACCTAGGCAAAATTTGGAGGGGGACGGGGGGGCAGACAGCATGTATTATGGGGGATTCGAAAAATAGTAAATAAGTTTTGAATGAAAGCCACTCTTTTCTAAATGTTTAAGGCCTAAAAAAGAATCTTTCATCAACCTTTAAAATTTGAAGGCAAAGCGCTAGAGTTTTAGACTTGCTAAAACACGTTCTGAAAGTGCTTGAACAATTCAGCACCAACTCCCCGGAGTATCGCATTTTGCTCTTATTGGTTGATTTATTATTCTAAACGTGCTTTATTCAAAACACAGAACAAAAACAACCAATGTGACAAAATTGGTGAGCTATAGTTATGCAAATAACTTGGGAAATTGATGTACTAAGTGATACAAACTTCTACTTGCGTTCAGGTGCCGTGATTCAAACGAAATATTGAAACTGTTGAACCGAACAAGAAGAAGACAATTGCACGAGCACTGAAAATGTTCACGGAACTACAGATTGGTAAGTTGATGTTTTATTAAGTAGTTTCATTTTAAGGAGAAGAATTATATGGGAATCAAAGAGAAAGAGAAAGAAGCGATGGTCGAGGCAGGGCGAGAATTAACCCGGAAACCGATGTTTGAGTTGTAATCCGCCGGAATGAAGCCGGAGCTTACGTTATCGCCCTGTTTATATGAAGAAATGCTGTGCCAGGTAGAAGGGTTACTCTCCTACCCGAGCTAACCTGGGTGAGTTAACTTTTCGTTCATTTCCTTAGAAAATGCGGCGAACCGTTAAAAGGAGAAACAAAAAGTTAAGTTGGAGCGACTAGAAAGGTGACCCGCCTTGCCAGGACATCATTTTTCGATGGCAGAGCTACTCCCTTAGCCGGGCCAACTTTTCTCCATATAAACACTTTGGCTCGCTCAGTCGGGTCAATTCTAGCTTGCGAGCAAGCTCTCCGGGGCGCTCCGGGGCGGCAAAAAGGAGGAGAGTTTGCAACTTCGTCTCTGGAATTTGAACATTACCAGTTAGTAATGACGTCATTACCCTTGGCACGTGTTTTTCAATGTTTGTTTACATTCGCGCTCGTTTCTGCTTTGCGCTGATTGGTAGAAATCTGACAGCTCAGTCGACGGAGAGCCACAGGAGAATTGTAGGTGGAATTCAGAGAAGAGACGCTGTTGCAAGCTCTCCTTCATTTTCCCGCCCCGTCGCCAGAGCGCCCCGGAGAGCTTGCTAGACAATCAGCGCATGCGCGAGTATTGTTGGGTCAACTTTGTTCTCATATTAACGTGCCATAGTTAACTCGGCTTGGAGGATGACCCTCCTTCGAGGGACAAATTTCCTTCACGTAAACGTTTTCTTACCAAAATAGGTAAAGTCACTTACCTTAGAATTGTCCAGTTTCACTTCATGATTTAAGTTGGGGCCCAACTCCTTAACTTCACTGGGAACATCGTAACCTTAAATGCAACCATATGAAGGCTGGTTTCAAAACTGCCGGAGTATAACCGAGATGTTTAAATAAGAACCCAGCGCCAGGGTGCTTAGTGTTATTTTTTTTTTTAGTCGAGAAGGGGTGCTAATTCGAGGGGGGCGGTTAATTCAACTGAATTTTTTTCAGAGTTTCGGTCTCGACATGACACTCGACTTTGTTAGAAATGAAGGAAAAATGTAACATCGAATAGTCCAAACAGGGAAACAAAAACGTATCTTTAGCGTATGTACCCAAATTTGTGTTTGTGTGGTACCTATTCAATCGCTATCCTCAAGCACTATTGCCTGAGGAGCCAGGCCCTTTGACCACGTGATGCCCTTAAATGGATCATCTTCAATTGATTTTATGATTCACTTAATGTTTATTGAACATGCACGCACTGTATACGTTATATCAGTAAGGAGATGTGTTAAGGGGGAGTCGCTTATTTAATATTTTAGGCCTAAAGGGGGGCGTTATTTTGCTGGAGGGTGCTAATTACAAGAGAGCGCTAATTCGAGCAAGTAAGTCAAAGAAGCGCCTAGTACAATTCTGCACAACATTCTGCGCAGGTTTTTTTTTTCCTTTTTATGGGATCGCTTACCAAGAAGCTTGGGCGAGACGAAAAGCCTAAGCCTGTCATGTTTGAAAAAATGTTCCAGAGAGTATTACATGAATAAGATTTGAGACTTAAATCCTTGTCGTCCTATGTTACTTGGGCATAGCTTTCCTTTCATGCCTGTTCAAAGTTATTTTAAAATTGGTTGGACTTGCTTGTATGGTTCTCAAAAATGTTGCTACTAGTCCTTCCTCACCATTCCCTTCTTGTCTGTTATCAATTTATGGAGTGACAATGGATTAAATTAAATAAATTAATTTAAATTAAATAAGCTCAGTCTAAGGCTGTGCTAACAGAACTTGATAACTTAACCCGTGGACAAGCGTCGCTCGCACGTCATTTGCAAGAACGCCCTCTCCTTTAACTTTAAGCCCTTTTCAGGCGGGTTGTGTTTAGAAAAGTAAAACAATGAAACGTATAGCAATCGGTTCACTTACCAAGAGGCCTAAATTCTTCATCCAGCATTTTTGCTGCTTCTTCAAACCACGCGCATTTTGTAATGGTGATATACCTGTTTCCTGGTACCACATAAAAAAAGGAAGTACGAGTCTTAATATTCCGGTGAATTTGTCTGCCAATTTTGGGCGGCAAACAAGGTGTATTATGCGTAAGTGGAAATCGGGCTCAAGCGAGAGAAAGTTTACGGTGGGGAACTAAGTATGTCCCAGGTAAAAGCAAGAAAATGAGTTTACGGTAACATCTTTACTTAATTTGAACTGGGTAGCACATAACACTGGAACTTGACAAACTAGTGGTCCTCTATCCTAATCAGATTATCAAATACGTAAAAATACTACAAGCCAGCGAGGCAGAGATAACTTTTCATTATTCCCCTTTTCCTCTTAACATATAAACCTTAACAGCATAAGTTACGCTGACGTTCGAGCTGACTGCACTGCTCTTATATACAATGTACAGAGGACACGTGTCTGTTGTCCTCTCAACCGCGACTAAACCGTTACCCTACCACGAAGGAAACCTTGATTTTTTGTTTATTTACTTATTTATTTATTTATTGTCACTTTACATCACTATTGCTATAAATTCCAATTATATTTGCAAAGGGTGCGGGTTACATTCGCTTTATAAAACATATTTCGTTTAAATTTTCTTCCCTTCATCACTTACCGGGAGACTTCGGTGACGTCATTGCTGTTATATGCGCTGCGGCAACATCCCGGACATCAGAAAAAGGCAATGACATTTTCGGTATAAACGGTGCACCACGATGAAGCATGTTAAGGTGAAACTATAAAAAAATACCTTGAAACGTTAATGGGCTCAAAGTGTAAAGAGTTGCAAGATTCCTCTGTGTAAGGAAATCCAGGACAGTCTTGAATTCTGGATTCCACGCCGTGGATTCCGGATTCTAGGAATTGGATTCCGGATTCTTTCTCCGTGAAACTTGGATTTCGGATTCCAATCGTTAGTGGGATTCCGGATTCTAAAGCCTCGGATTCCAGATTCCACGACAAAGAGTTGCTGGATGACTGAATCCACAGTCCCTAATATGGGGCGAGTAGTTCTGTTTCGACCTCGTCCCCAGGCCCAGGGCGCTTTTCCCAGCGCCCTGGGGATGAACTTGGTTCTGTTTCTTAAGGGAAAAGGTTTTATATCTACATCCAAGGTTGTTGGTTCCATTTATCAAAAGCCCCGGTAACCTTGGCATCCATTCTGTTATATCCTTTCCAGCACTAAGATAACTCATTCACCGGTTAAACTTTTTTCCCATTTCTGTCTGTACTTATGGATCCCAATATGTCGTATCACGGAAACTGAATATAGTATGTATTTCTATTTACCTCCATACTCGTGCAGGATGACCCATGTAAGACTGGTCCAAAAACAAGTCCAGGATTGATGCAACTCAGCTCAAACTTTTCATCATCTATAATAAAATACATGCGCAAAGGCGAGATCACAGCAACGCAAACGAAACAAATATTTCAATAAGTCAAGTAATAAATCATTTCTCTAGGTAAGACTTGTAAGAAATCAAAAGAAAAAGGTCAACCTCTCGAAGAAGGAGTGCAAATAATGGGTAGCGTCTAGCCTGCGAGAAATCTTTCCACTTGGGGGGATATCGTGAGAGGTCAAGAGAGAGCGTAACGCAAAGAAAAAGAGCTTAACGCGATGCATGAACAGAGGTGTATTATCGAAAGTGCGAAAGTGGCGATATCACACAGCATCTCCAAGAAGGCCTCCGCGAGCTAGGGTCTGCAGAGGACAAGAACCGACTCGTTCTCAGTCATGTCTTGTAGGCGGTCAAAGAACGGTTGCGGGAGACTATACGTCATCTCTCCACCCGGAAGCATAGTTCGCGCGCTTCCCTTGTTAACATTTAAGAGAAGACTAGGGACGGCGTCAATGACGAAAACGTTTTCTTGCTGTTCACCTGGCAAATTTTTCACTAGTTCCCAAGCTGTTTTCTCGGCGCGGCTCTTGCTCTTTTCGTACGGAGAAGTGACCTCGTCTACGGCCCAGTCCTCCTCGGTTAAAACGCGTTCTGAAGGGATATTACCAGCTGAAAAGAAAGCAAACGAGGAAGAGAGAAATACACTTTTTTGTAGGTAGAGCCTCCACTCCGCCTACCTTCCCGCCCCCTTCGCAAATCCAAATATTGTACTCACATCTCCCCTCTCAAACAAAAAGTAAAAATAATAATGTGCATCATCATCATCATCATTCGTTAGCCTTGATGTAAAAAGGAATTTAACCGAATACAGAATGTTCTTAGGCGGGGAGACCTCAAAAAACCAAAAGGCTTATAGGAGAGGCCATCACAATATCATAAGAAATAAGGGCTGCGAAGGAGTGCGGCTAGGCTAATTCTGTAACTATTTTAAAAAGAAATAAGTATTAAATGTTTTTAGATGCATAAGCTTTAAATTTTTCAAATACTTAAATAATTTACGATATGATAGCATTGGCGGTGCTTTTTTAACCAGATCCCTTGTGAGAACGAATATACATAGCAGGACTGGAATTTTTTAGCTTGGCCTCGCTCCTTGCCGAGCTGACTAATCTGGAAAAGGTGACGAGGCCTGCAAGAAAGTCTGCGTTGGAGGCTAGAGCTGACTTGGTTTTGCGCCTCTTGTAAGGCTTCTATCCCCCGTCCCGTCCCCGATTCCAACACATTTTACTTACGATAAATCGCAACACAGGAGCTTGTCAGTACAACTCTTTTCACTGCCCCCTTAGTCTTTGCACAAGCTTCAAGAACATTTTTTGTTCCCTCTACTGCAGGTCCTATCACCTCCATCTCATCTTTCGGCCGCTGAGCAGGGAAGGGTGAGGCAACGTGAATCACATAGGTACAATCCTTGACAGCGCTGGTATTAAGTGAAATGATTTATTTCAAATTAACAATAATAATAATAATAATACAAGAATCATGATTACAAAACTGCTACCATTATTGAAAAATCAAAATCAGAGATTAGAGAAAAACAAATATGTCTCCTGAGCATTATTTTTGAAGTTGCAAACAGCAGAGATCAACTTTGAAAAACTGTTAGGCTGAACAGTTTTCAAAAACCCTCATTTCAATCCGTTTCAATCTTCTTCAGTTTTGCTCATCCGTGGCATCTGTTGTGTTATTTTAACCTTCCTTTAATGTTTTTGTAATTACCTAATTTGGCTGAATTTCGTGACACAGCTCCTTTATATAACCATAATTTTACTTTTTCCCACCCCCGGAGGGGCCTATTTTGTAAGCCGTTTCTAGGGTGTTGGAGGTGGGCTGTTAGAGAAGGAGACTTGTTTTTGTATTTTATAACCTATACAGTATTTAATAAACCGTATCATTGAAGGACACATAATACAAGGTTTTACAAAATCCTTTCTTTTTTAATGTTTATCAGTGTACAACTCTGAACCTTGTAAGTTTACGCAGTCTACGGATAATCATTAAATTCATTTGGTTTCTAATTATTTAGACTGCAGTTCATATCATGACAAATCTTCGAAAATGATGACGAAGCGTGACTCAGCACGATGCCGTTGCAATTATGCACGAAATCCAAACCCTGCACACATACATAAAGCAACAAATAAATTCCATTTTCACTACTCAGACTACTCACTCTGCCCAAGTTTCCTTCTTCAGCAAGTCGGCCTCAACTAATTCCAGCGGGTATTTCGCATTTTCCGGACAAAGATCTTTCAATGGCTTAACCTTCTTCTCGTTTGCAAGGCTTCTTACGGTTCCCCGCACGATATATTTACCTGACTCGATCAGTTGTTTGACAATATGCATAGCAACGTAACCAGATGCTCCTGTTACGAGAACACGGGACATATTGCTGCTGATATGCGCCAGTGGCAACTCCGATCCTCAGAAGTGTTCTGTTTTAAGGTGTAAACCGGCTGCAAGGGGCAGTATTTACTCAAACAGCACGACTGGTGGGAAAAATTTAATATTCCAGGCCCACGCATAAATTTAATATTTCAAGGTTTGCACAAAGGCAGGTGACATCACAGATAGCCCAAGCTCGAAATATGAACATCGGCGAACATGGGCATTGTTGCGTAACATTCGAAATATAAGGATTTGTATAGGAAAAAAACCTATCGTTTCTGTAACCTACGAAAATGAAAGAACTTCAACAAAAAAAAACCAACTCACCTTACTTAAAATGTGTGTTACGTCTCTCCTGTGTGGTCTACGGAGCGTTTTATGGGTTTTTATGTAAACGGTTTTCTCTCCTACGTAACACACATTTCAAGTAAGGTAAGCTGTTTTTCTATTGAAATCCTTTCATTTTCTTAGGTTACAGAAACGATAGGTTTTTTTCCCATACAAATCCTTATATTTCGAATGTTACGCAAAAATGCCGATGTTCGCCGAAGGTCATATTTCGAGCTTGGGCTACCTGTGGTGACATGACAGTAGAACACTCAACAACAACAACGACTTTGAATTAAACCGGTGACAGTAATTATCTGTAATTATTAGTGCGACGTTAGGGAATAGAATTTTCCTCCGCCCGTCTACTATTGGCTGTGAATCTAACCTTAAACTCAGCCAGTCTCCCATTTACGCTATTTGCGCTCAACGTGGCATTAATAGTCATACCCAGGATATTATATTTTTGCCAATTCTTTTTTTGTATATTTATAACGGTCATTATTATTATTTCTTATCTTATCCAAGATAGCTCAGACATTCTCTCTTGTGTTATCTTGTGAATAGCCTCTTCTTATTAAATTAATTTGTAATATCATATTCTAAGATTTTTTAATGTAAGCATATACAGTCAGTTAAGATTTATGAAAGAAGAGTTACGGCCCTAGAATGGGAATTTAGTTTTCCCCCGCTGCTAACCCTCCATCTTTTACGTCTTTAGATTTTAAATCATTGTGTGGATGGTAAAGTATCATTTAACTTAAACTTAGTAGAGGGTCATATAGGGGAGGTCTCTGGCACAGTTCACGGATCAAAAAAGTAACTAATCACGAATGTCAAACTTTCATTTCAGTTTTCTTGTGGTGCGAACTGTATTCATCGTAGGTTTCTGATTACTCAGTTTCTTGCAATGAAGCTTTGGGTAAGAATACCCTTGCAGATAGGAGATAGACAGTCCGTCGGCACTCTTCCTCTATTTGTGCGTCAACTTTCAACTTTGTGTTAGCGTGGCATTTTAAGGTTAAATTTGACCTACATTTTGTGCAGCGAGTTGTATGGTCACGATTAACCTCAGACTTGCAGATATAAAACTAGAGAGCCCTGAGGCTTATCTGTTTTGAAGTTATTTACACTTTTCGTAAAAATGCGGCTTTAAGAATATGCCGATATCTCGAACGTCGTTATATCTACAAGAAAATAGGTAACTTTTTCTTTAAAAAAAAACCATCATTCTTTTTGAAGGATGCCAAAAATCATAGAAATCGGTTGATTAAATTGTTCCTGTCGAAAAACGTGATAAATAAATAAACCTTGTTTTTTGTTGGCGTTCTAATATAGGAAGTGATGAGATATTCTGAAAACGGGTTTGAATTTTAGGGGGCCAGGTCTGAAAACGGGTGTGGAAATTTACATTGTTTCATATGAAATAGGCTCGGGACTTGGAGAGCCGGGCGGCACACACCCACCAAAATTCCCAGGGGTACCCGCCCGCCCGAAAAAAAAGAAAAAATGAGGACGGATTCTCATCTCTGTTGATCTGTTTGCATTTAGTTTTGGTATATTATCTTTATTAGACATAATTTAAGGGTTTATTTGTCTGCTCTGGGAACCGAACAAGAGGAGCTACAGCAACAGCGAAGAGACCATCATAACCAGGCAGCAGAGGGTTACCAATCAAAGAAAAAAGATAAAAGGGCGGCAAAAGAAACGTGGAAGGGGAAGACAAGAACCCTTCGAGAAAGTAATCATGTCAACAGTAGAGACGCTGCTGTAGTTCGATTTTCAACAAAACCTTCCTACGCCGAACCTACATCATAGCGAAGTTTTCTACATGAGACAAATATGGATGTATAATATGGGCATACACGACTGCGTGGGAGACCAAGGACACATGTACGCGTTTGCAAGGATACCAACGCGGTATCCTCCTGCCTTCATACGTATTTCAAAGAAAACGGAAGTGGAGCAAGGTAATTTCCCATTTAAATGTCAGGTTCTTGGTTTTAAGTGCTTTTTGTAATAGATTTTATTTCAATTTTTGCACAGATCATCAGATCAGATCGTTAGCTATTCAGATGGGTGTCCTGGCCAGAATAAAAATTAGACTGTATTTTTGTTTCTGGTCCACGTGCAGCCGGAAGTGAATGTATGCTATTATAAATCATAAATACCTAGTAAGCCATTCCCTTGATACGTCGTAAAATTTTGGTAACAAGCTCTGTGTTTTTACTGTCTGGAAGCCTCTTTTGGTGGGCTTATTTATTTTCGGAAGGGCTTAGTATTAGAGGAAATTTTCCGTTTTAAATGTCAAGCAGCTAGGGTTAGTTGTGACACAAGTCTTTTTGTAACGACTGACTTTGGTCTGTTAGGCTATTTAGATAAAATCATTACTTCCCATCCTTTTCCCTCTCGTAAAAGTGGGTTGGTAGGTCAAGCAAAACAAAACGAAGAGAAGCAAAGGGAAAAAATTGGCCGTAGAAGCCTGCTGTTAACTCTTGATGTAACTTATGTCCAGACTGTGGCTGCAAACTGGAGAGTTTTCAGAAAGTGGAAAAAGAAGAGAGGAAGAAAATAATAGAACGTTTTAATGGACTAGAATATTACAATGAAGTTTTGTGCTCTACCTAAAACATGATAGGAGTTTTCACGATTTTTTCTTGTTTTTTTCCAGATCAGGGGCCACATTAATTTCTTCCCGGCACAGGAATCACACTTTTCGAGGAAGGATAATTCAGGAAAGCAGTTCCTAAAAGAGGATTTATCAGTCCAACGAATGAACAACCTGTACTTGGAAGAAAACGAACCCGAGGTCTGCTGAAGACAACAAAATATTTCAGAGTAAGTCCAAAGGAAGTTACTTTTATAAAATTTTGGCGAAACCAATTTGCGTATGTTTTCGTCTCGAACCATGCCAATGATAACGAAAAAATGACGTCATATACCATTAAATCACTGATTATCAAATTCATTATGAAGGAAAGCTTTCTTTTTATGGATAATAATCAACCGCTGGTTGGCCAATAATTACGATTTATTCAACTATGGATCAGAGCCAGCACAATGACGTTGTAAAGACAAAACAATAAAACTAACTTTAAAAAATTTCTCTCCCTCCCCTCTCTCTCTCTCTTTTTGTTATTGCAGAGCCAAACAACAAAACGAGGCGACGCCAACCATTTTACGGCCGCAAGTGAGCCAAGACACCTACCGGCGGATGTTTAACACCGAATTCAATCTTGGTTTTGGCTTACCAAGAAGCGACACCTGCACCAGATGCGAAGGGCTGGACGTGGCCATGAAGGGCGCAACGGGTATGTTCAATCTTTCATATGTTGATAACTTGCGCTCTTCGGAAGCCAATGTAGAGTAACGAGATCTAAGTTTGTAGGTCATAACTTAGCCTAAGCGGACGCGGCCTCCGCTCGGCCTCCCATTTCTTGGCCCACAGTGTTAATTACCTTATACAAGAGCCATAATAGGACTATTATGGCTCTTGTCTTGTAATATTGTTTTCGAGGAAACCGGGAATGTATGAACGAATGAAAGTATGAATGTCAGTATAACCAACACGCACAAAAATAGGTTCGGGCCATCTTAATCTGTCTTGTGTGCTGGCTATAGCTATGGAAACGAGAGGCCTCTACCGCTGACCAAAAGGATCGCGGCCTCTATGAACGAGAACGCAGCTTCAAGTGAGGTATGAGCGGCATCATGGGAAGAAGTACGGCTTTTCTCTTTTACCGGAGGCGAGAGGAGCATGTGTGCTGGGGTTTCCTTATCTCCCCTCCCCCTCCCCTGATCTTTCTTTTTTTTTTTTTTTTTTTTTTTTTTTGCTCTCGTCCCAACTTTTTCGACGAACTCGCGCGAAAACGCTTGCTACGCCGGCTAGACTAACGCAGGCTTAAATAATATTAACAATTAATTGCCATAAGAGACAAACAAAAGTCATGCATCATATTTGTAAGGAGCTTTAAATAATATATTTTTTAAAATAATTAACTAAAACAATTGCCAATCGTTTCAGTGAATTTTTATTCTAGCTTAATATTCAAATATCCACTGGAAGTTTAGACCTGCAAAACAGTCCGTATTTTTGCGTATTCAAGTACCCACGAGCGAGCGATCAAACAAAAAGTTGGGAACGAGGCTGACAACAGAGAGCGAAACTGGGGAGAGACGCTAAAAATACGTTTTTTTTTTCTCTAGCCTCACATGCCCCAGGGGCGTGTGAGGCTCGCGCGCTTCGCGCGCATAAGACTCCTACGCCGCGCTTTACCGTTTTCTTTACTGATTTTGAGAAAAAAACCGACTGTTTTGCAGTCTATTGGAAGTTCTATGTCAACCACCAGTCTTCAGTCAACCTCCCTTAATTTTCTCGAGAGGAGAACAAATATTTTCAATATATCCCATAATATATGCTTAATCGTGCATTGTTAGTATTAATATCAAATTTAACGGTTCTGGTATATTCTTGTCTTCTTGACAAAACCAGCATCGATCAAGCTGTACGCCATATCAGTTATGCTGGTCTTCAGGTCAGTTGGATTGTACTCCAAATCTTTCTTGGCCTGCAAAGAATAGAGTGAAAATGCCGTCGGTTGCATCTAAGCGTAGACACGAGACGAAAAAGCATGTTCTAATAGGGTGCCAGGCATGACGTGTTTTGCGAACTTGCTAGAAATCAACCGATACTTCGCTTTGACGTCATACTAAGACACGATTGGCCAATCGAAAAATGCCTTCTCCATATTAGGGTTTTCTTTGGTGGGAAAACGAAGAAGCCATGTTTTGATCTTTTCATCCGTTGGCTGATAAAACAAACAACGATCACGCACCGAAACCGTTTTTCAAGGTCATGCGAAAATCGCTCTAGCTTTGCGTGTCGGCACGAAGAGATATCCAGTGGTTTAGTGTGACACATAGCCATCTTACTGGATAATTCGGACCATGCAACAACACGCCTGTTAGGTTAACAACAGCGAAAAACAAGACACCGACTGTCAAAAATTATCGATTTCACGGCATACATTACCTTCGAGTTGTCAAAATGGGCTTCTTCACCTATCTGGGGTAAAATCATCTTTATTGAGCCATCAAATAACGCCAAACAGCGTAATACAAACTTGGGCGCAACTCGCGTTGGAACGTTATAACCTAAAAGATAGATAGGAAAGCAAAATTTATTCACTAGAATTCTCTCAAGTTTACAATAAACTACACTAGCGTCATGAAGGGATACTTAAGGACACAGTAAAACCAAGGCATAATAGTTTCATTTCCCCTCATGTTCGCTAACTATCAGGCAAATCAATCTGCAAGCATGCTTCTAGTCCTTCTTGTCCTTCTTCAGAGCGCCTGCCACGCGAGCAGCGCGAGAGCGTGCGTGCAAGCTGAGCTCCTCCCATTCCCGGACCTCGCTCTTGAAACGCTGTACGGTCATTTGGTCCCGGTTACTTTGCCCCCTATTTTGGAACGAGAAATATATTTGAAGCGCGCTTGTTTTGGTTCATGGCTTATAGGACGAGGAATATTGTATTTGTAGCGCGCTAAATGACTTGAAAATAGGCGGCGAAGTAACCGAGACGAAATGGCTTGGGGGTGAAATGACTGTAAAGCGATGCGAGAGCGAGGTTCCGGAATGGGAGGGGCTCAGTTTGCTCGCAACTTTTTAGAATCTACGAAATTTAGTAAATATACAAAGTTTATTACCAAGTGGACGGAACTCGTCGTCCAGAATTTTGGCTAGTTCAGGTATGCACATCGTCTCCGTAACTGTAATGTACCTGTTACCTGTAAGTACAAATATAAAATGATACGAGCACTCAGGGCATTTCAATGTTTTTTAAATGTCAAAACCAAAAAATCGACCAATTTTATTGAAACTCAACAGTTACCAATTACACAATTTTCACACCAGCAAATAGCTACAGATCTAATTAGGGCGGGGGGAAGGAAGGACATTATTCAACGTATTACATGGTTCATACAATAGACAGAATTAAATTACCTAAAGCAAAGTCAATAGATAACGGTATGATTAAGAGGAGAGACTAGTCTTGAGACTAGGATAATGTATAATACAGCTTTATGTCATTGAGGCAGCGTTTTGGGCTTCAATCATGAGTGCAATCCATCGGCAACTAAGATTTCCAAAATGCAATGAACATTTTGATTGCTTTTAAACAAATCGAAGCCTCTTCTACAGAGGTGTGCTTTAGTGTTCGCTATTGGTTTGTCTTAACAAAGATTAGGAAGATAGAATGTCCCTAACCAGCAGCCTTTGGTGACTTCATAGCACTAATGTGTGCTCTAGCAACATCTCTGACATCACACATGGGAAAAGACAGCCTTGGTACCATGGGCATTTCTCTTTGAAGCAAACGCCTATGAAACTAAACAAAATGCAAACTGAATATGTTATTTTACAAAAAAAGAAACACCCTAACACCCCCCACTCCCTCCCTCCGCCTCTCAAAAAAGGTTTTTACCTAAAGTACCACCATGAAATAGCACATATACATCACAAAATTTCAGTTTTGTTGGATAGTAAGTGACTATACAAGAGTTTTTGAATGTATTTGTACTGAACTGTAATGACATTATTCCTGAAGATGCCAGGTCATGTCTGGCAAAAACTTATTATTTTCTCCCCTAAGTGTAAAGTCATTAGCCTTAATTTGCTTTATAATTATTTCGAAGTGTTGAACAAACATTTGTCCACTATACCCACTGGAATCCAACCCCTATTTTCTAATCGTTGGCCCTTACAAAAGTAACTTAGGTATTGGTATTCAGAGAGTACTACCTGGTAACTAAGGAAAAAATACATTGTATACCATACCTATGATAATGTGATGGTATCAGTGACAGTGTTGTTACCAGGATTTCATACACTGGGGTCCACAGGACCCATAGAGAAGCTAAAAGGGGGTCACAAAGTTTTCACAGGTCTGATTCTTGGACAATGATGGTGTTCTCTAAAGACGCCATAACCAATTAAATTTTGGCTTATACTATAAGGAAATGTACGTATGTGTACGTATGTGTACGTATGCTTACGTACATTTTGTAATTGGTTTTTTCCTTCTTTGCGCCCTTGGGAACCCTTGGGCTAATTTTAGTGCGGCATTTTCTGAAAAAGAGTGGCAATGCCGCAATTCCCCGGTCAGGTAAGAACACTGCAGTGATAGTATAGGCTCAAAAAACATACCATAAAAAGGGCCACTTACAACCCCTGGGGTTATACAGCCTCATAAGGGGTTTTAGAAGGACTTACAAATGGGGGGGGGCTTATATTTGAGGGGGATTTTAACCACAATAGAAAAAAAGATTCAAAACAAAGCTAGAGTGGTAAGAGTCAAAATATGTTTTGTATTAATTTTTAATGTTTTTTAATCAAGCTTTAAAACATCATAATAACTCAAATTCATTTCAATACAAGCCAAAGGGGGTTTATCATTGGATGTATTTTTTGTTTACAGGTAGATGGGCTTGTAAGTAGGGGTGGGGTGGGGTGGGGTTGGGGGGGGGGGGCTTAAAAGACTAGTGACACTTTACAGTATAGCATGCCCACGTATGCTAGCATGATACATCATTTAGGACTGCCATCACAATTACCGTGATTTCAATATTACCTCCATACTGGTGCATGTTGAACCCTGGAGTACTGGACCAAGAATAAAACCAGGAGTGATGGTACACAACTCAAACCTCTCATCATCTACAACAAATGATTATTCAATAACCAAGTCAACAACCACACTAGTAGCCAGTGGCTACTAATTTTACCAATCAACTCTGTATGAGGGATTGGAACTCATAAAGGCTTTCGCATGCACGCGCATGTGTCCCTACTTGTTATTCTGCAATGCCTGCAATAGCTTGCATGCAGTACAGCCCTCTCAAGTTTTCTAGGAATCCCCGTCCCTCTTGGTTCCAGGGTTTGCAATAAACTGGGTGAAGAGGCATAACTACAGGTTGAATAGCTCTGAACAGGACTGTTGATAGCAGTGAATGGTTATCATGTCTCAACATCCTATGCAGACAACCCTGTTTAATGAATGCCAGTTGGAAAAATCTTCAGTTGATCTCCATAGTCGCTGATAGGATTTTTCTTTGCCAACTGAGAAGGTAACATGCATGCTTTTCAAGGTGAGAGGGAAAAGTACCAAAGGCTTAACATGTACCCTTGAGAATAAGCACTCCCGACCTGGTAAATTTTTAACTAGGTCCCAGGCTGCTCTCTCTGCACGGATCTTGCTTTTCTCGTAAGGGTTACTCCTCTCTTCTATGGCCCAGTCTTCCTCTGTAAAGACTTTATTTTCACTCATTCTTCCAGCTGTAGATTAAAAACACAGTAACTATTACTTTTCAACCATTCTCACTCAAATACTTTACTGGAACATATACTGCTTTCAAACTATATGTGCCACACTAAATCAGATCTGACCTTGCCCATACAGCCTACTAGAACACACAGAAACAATTAAATATAGTAAACAACATCTTAATTGAAGCAGTGAAATCAAGAGCCTGTTGACCTATCTACATTATTAAAAGTTTGAAGAAAATGACAAGTAACTCACGATATCAGTTTGTGTCGCATTTAGTCAGTTGATAGCCTGAAGTCCTTAAGAATGCACTGTCTACATAGCTTTACTCATCCATTTGTAATCAACCCATGTTACCAAGACGACACGCGAGTTTGGGCAAAAATAAGTCTATTGAGCCAAGCGGCAACTGCCGATCGATAGCTTGACAATAAACCTAAACGCAACTAAACTGAAAAACGCTAAGACTACAATATGATTATTAACTTCACGAAGATCATGAGAGATTAGGGAGGGAGAGGTGGGTAAGAGCTTATGCCTCATCTCCGGATCTTACAAAAGATGTCCTTGCGGTCCACACAGTCGATTTATAAAAGACATTCGATACCTCTATAACCGGTTAATTAACCATCATTAATAAATGATTTCTCAAATGTATGGCTTTTTTTATTACATATTTTAGTAAAATCCAACTAGTGGTCTATTTATCAATGCTGCATTCTGATTGGTTGAGCTAACTACTGGGCTATATGTTATAGCCCACTCATAGCGAAAAGCACTGGATTTTTGGCGGCAAAAAAGGATTAAAGTCTTGCTTAAGTTGTTTTGTCTCGATATTTTTGACCAACTAGTTGGATTTTACTAAAACAATTATTATTCCTCTCGCCCTCATGGCCTCTGAGTCAATAGCCCATTCGGCCTTCGGCCCCATGGGTTATTGACAGAGTCCATTCGGGCTCGAGGAATAATTGTTAATTATTGAACTTAGCTTTCACAAATTAACCTTCTTGCAGAAAATGATGAATTGTGAGCCTCAAAATAAGGAGACTGCACATGCAAGGCTGTAAATTCACAAATGACAGCAACATTTCTTTTATGTGACATTCTTACTTTTTCTAAGATCACACATTGCACATAACTTCTTTAACTCCCTGCAGGTGTGCTGGATGGATGTAATGTCTGAAACCAGCTCTTACCATAAATTGTAGCTCCAGAACTTGTCAGTACAACTCTTTTCACTGCCCCCTTAGTCTTTGCACAAGCTTCAAGAACATTTTTTGTTCCCTCTACTGCAGGTCTTATCACCTCCATTTCATCTCTTGGATTTTCATTTGGGAAGGGTGACGCCACATGGATCACGTAGGTGCAGTCTTTGACAGCTCTTCCAATAAGAAAAAAGGATACTTAATTTTAAAGCAACATGTAAGCAGCAAAAAATCTAAAAATTTATCTGAAAATTTAATCCTTTTGAGCAACTTACTATCACCAATCCAGCGACTGCCAACCCCCTCCCCCCAACCATAAAGAAATTGGAAGCAGGGAAGTTATTAAATCATGGGAAATGGAACACATTTATTTGGCCCTATTTCATTATCACTGTCATATGTTTGTAACAGCTAATTGGGTTAAATAGATGTATAAAAATGCAGCCTCAGAAGAACTGTAATATTATGTCGAAAAGCAGGCTAGATGACAGTGTTCACATAAGGAGGTATATAAGGGTTATACAGTGAAATCCCATTAAAAACCCAAACGACAGAATCTTACAAATTATCAAAATGCCTGTGACATGTTAATTTCATTAACCTCTGTCATTTACTAATCAAACAGCTAATTTGTGTTTTCCTTTAATAGTCAAAGGGTAATAACTGACATGGCTCATGCACTTTCCAGGGTGGTTTCTTGCAGTAATTGTAAGTAACTATTATTAGTTGGAATGAAGAACAAGCCAATTGTCATCACGGCTCCTAAGCCATAAAAATTAATTTTGACCCTGCCCTGGTGATACAGCTACCCCATTAATAGGGCCAATTTTTCCATGCATACCCAACAAAATTTTACATGGGTGATGTCAGAGCAGTTATGTGCATCTAACAGGGCATTTCCCTTGAAAAGGTTGCACAAGAGCTGTTGTTGACCAACTGCTCAGAATTTAAATTAGATAAGTTATCTTTAATGATTAGTCTTCTATGGTAATTTGCGGGGATATTCTCCTTCTCTGGGGGTAGTCAATCTTGACGATTACATAATCGTATTCTTACATATTATGTTTATTTTAAATGTCAAATGATTACGTAATGACAATAACCATGAAGTTGAAAATGTCACGAAAATGTTCCACGCTGACATGATCAAGTGACAAGAAAGATGGACTTATTTTATCAAAATGCATATTAAGGCCTGTTTTATTTGCAATACAGGAACCAAGATCTTTGTCCACCACATATAAATACTTACTCCATCCAGGATTCCTTGTCCATAAGGTCAGCTTCGACTAGTTCTAAATCATATTTGGCAGATTCAGGCTTCAGTTTTCGCAGCGGTGCTACTTTCTTTTCGTTGGCCAAGCTTCTGACTGTTCCACGAACCATATACTCTCCGTTTTCGAGCAATTGTTGAACAACATGAGACGCAAGGAAACCTGATGCACCTGTCACGAGAACTCGAGACATATTTGTATAACTGGGCACCATCCACGGACTTTTCAGAGAGCAAAACCTTCGATCGATAGAAACGCGATCTACCTAGCAAAATCGAAGGCCCAGGAGGATCGGAGAGTGGTCACTGAGTGGTACGGCCACAACTCACTCAACCGGTAGGAATCTTCCAACAGTATTTTGCGTTGTAAATGTAACATATCATAATACGTATGCAAATGTATATTAAAAAAGGAAAAGCTCCTTATTGGATGTCAAAAATACGACAATCTCAAACTGTGCTAAATTGTAAAGAAAAGTATAAAGCGGATAAGTTGTCCCCAGGGCCTTCTCTCTTTTCTCCAACCCATCAAGTTCCCAGGGTCCTTCAGAAAGGCTCTGGGAAAAGAAAAAGAGATTGGGCTCAACCACAGGCAGACCATCCTCTGTTAGTGGGGGCCGTTCTTGATTGAAATCTGAGCAACGATCTTTTGTTGTTTATAGATAGAAATACATATGAACAATACGGTGGCTATAATTTGTTCCAAAATGCAGAATTTAAAGCAAATTTTTCAATAAAAGTTTGAAGAAAATATTAACTGAGTCATGTGTCATGTTTTTTTTCCGCGTCCCATGTTGTTTTAAGCGCTATTTTGTGAGATGAATATTTGACCTCGGCGGTTACGAAAAAACATGACACATGACTCAGTTAACATTTTCTTCAAACTTTTATTGAAACATTTGCTTTAAATTCTGCATTTTGGAACAAATTATAGCCACCGTATTGTTCATATGTATTTCTTCTATAACTAACAAAAGATGGTTGCTCAGATTTCAATCAACAACAGCCCCCACTAACAGAGGGTGGTCTGCCTGTGGCTCAACCTGCTTACCTTTGTAGGACGCGAAATGACCACCGCAATTCGTCTATACTGGGGACTAAGGGAATAATACACTTGCTTTGTAAGCCCAGTTCTGGGCATTGAATTTCTACCAATTGTCTGTTCCAGGCGTTCAGAAAATTGTTTTTGCCGGGCCTCATTTTACTCCCTCGCGCTACAACTATCTGAACGCCTGGAGCAGGCAGGGGCACCCACAGCAACGACTGTTTTCTGTAAAATATCTGTTCGGAGGAGAAAAAACTTGCCTAGAATTATTTATAACTTGAGGAAGAACTAAAAAAGTCTAGATAACCAATCCATTCATGTACAGTTTTCGAAGCTTTTTAAATTAATTCCCTACAATTTTCTTAAGTTTAAGTTTTCGCATTTCACTCCCCATGTTAAGCTATTTTTCTAAGAAGGAAACCTAAAATTTTCGGATTCGACAATGCGACGGAGAGAGGAATCAGAAAAATTCTTACCTTCGAAAATCTTTGAATCGCGTCTAAAATTTTCGGGAAAATAATTCTCCAAAGCCCTTGTAATTTCGAAAAGACTCAAGTTGCCTTAGGATGGCCGAAAAGATACGAGCTCCGGAATGCATTTCTAGAGATCTAAAAGTACTCTGGATAGCTTAAAAAGTCTTTTCGATGCACTTAGGAGGAAACCGTCTTTGGGTGCCCCTTAGAAATGATGCACTGTGTGATGGCTGTGTGCATGCTTTTTTATAAGCCTAGGGAACAAACGGAACAGGGGCCGATCACGGCTTAGCCTGCGAACGCAGCCGTATTTTCGGTCGTCGTTACTCTCCACCCGAATTGCAAACACGTCTGCGTTCGCAGGCTAATCGCGGCTACTAGTAACGGACAAATGAGTTCTCCCGCCCCTTCTCTGTTTTTCATTGTTTCGTCACCAGTTATCATAAAATTACAACAGTTTGCCTCTTAAGGTAAAAATGTATCGCTTGCTGCGGTGAAACGAGGCCTCTAAATCAATATTTTGTGAATAAATAGCAAGGGCCAACGTGCAAATTAAAGGTTTTAGGGCCTGATGGATCTAAAACATCTAACCTGCAATTTTTGTGAGGAAACAGTGAAAAAAGAGAATGAGAATATATTTTCTTCCAATATTTCGTCAGGCAAGGCCTGCTTTCCCAATCAGGGAATGACTTACGAAGAGAAAGCACAAAGGTCGTTACAATTTATAAACCAAGAAATAGCAGAAAAGAAAATAGGACACGTGTAGTTACAGTTCCTCGGAGAAAGGAACATTCAGTCTGGTAATAGCGCCCCCAGTGGCTGTCGTTCCTTGGCAAACAAATACGCCAACAAATACACATAATAAATACTGCCTGTGTTGATGTTAGTTGCCATTTTTATTAACATTTTATTAACATTCTTGACAACGGCTGGGAGAGATATAAGTGAGGTGATTCTAACTTTTCTCAGTCCCTGTACGGCGTCTTCCCTGGCCTTCTCGGTCAATGCATTTTGGCGACGTATCCGAGACGAACGGACCACGTGACGCGAGACTCATTGGTTGTGCGGAATAATGAAGCCACCGAGTGAAAGCCATTAACAGCGTATGCAAATAGTGAAAAGTAATTTCCAGATCTGATTGCGGTTGAATGTAATATGTCATCGATGTTTCCAGCATCCCTTTGCAATTATTCTGTCATGGGGGAAAATTCCTTCTTCTACTGGATGGAACATTAAGTGGTACAGCAAAAATCTGTCATAAAAAATTAACGAAGATCAGCGTAAAGAATTGATGTCTCAGAAGACAGCAAACTTAGTGGCGAGGACGTTTTAGGTACGTCCTAATTTCAACTTTTTCTTTCCCTCGCCTCATGTAGTGGAATTCGGATTCCGGAATCCGGAAAATCTGGAATCCTGTGCTTTGGAATCCGGAATACAGCTCAAGGAATCCAGAATCCCACTAACGCTTGGAATTTAAAGAGAATCCAAGTTCCACTGACAAAGACTGTATCCAGTACCTGGAATCCGAAATCCATGGCTTGGAATCCAGAATCCAAAACTGTCTTGGATTTCCTTACGTGGCAAATTTCCCTTTTATATCACATCTGTTTGCCCCTTCCGTGAATATAATAACTAGACTTCCCTACTTCAAGGCAATTCTGAAGTCAAGAAACGCTTGCAAAATGAATTTTTGTTCCGCCAGGGCTGAGTATCAAATACAAACCTAGCAAAACGAAATGTCGTCCAGATGTAGCCGTGAAGGCCATCTCTGACTTCTTTACATACCTGACTCCACCTGATTTCTTCTTCATCCTGCCGTTGCTGTTTTTTATTGTGAACTAAACCACAAGCTTGTTTCCTTAATGTGTCTTCCAGTCTTTGAATCTGAAGTCAAATGCAAACAATTCAAGAGAGGGTGGGTAATGGTGTACTGCTCTTGAAATAACTAATTTTCCACTGATTGAGTTGTCGAATACAACGACTTTTTCTTTTTACTTTCTCAAAGTCATTAATAATTCGTAAAGAAAATACAAAGGACATTGATGTTTAATAAGTGTTTGCAAATCAGGTGAAAAACTGCTCATTTTTGCATCCTGAATTTCTCCTTCTAAAATCATTTTGTCTGAAAAGTAATATCAAGCATGAGACGCAATGTTTCATCACCAGATGAAACACCTCGAAGTTCCTCAAAACTACTCCGCTGCGCGTCGTATTTTCAACTCTCTTCTCAGTGTTTCATCTGGTGATGAAACACTGCGTCTCATGCTTGATATATTACTATTTGCCTGCTTGTCCTGAGGGTGATAATTCTCAAAAGTGCTGCAAACTCTTTGGTAAGTCTCGACCCCTTGGGGTGGAAGGGAATTATATTTTCCAACCATTTTTGAGGGGGGATTGTTAGAAACGGCCGGTGGATTATTATACAGCTGTCGTCCGGTTTCATAGGAAAACAAGAGAGGAGCCCAACAATCAAAAGCTACTGAAAATTGAATGTGAAATATGCTGCGGTACCAGTAGTGTATCTAGACCTTCAGATAAGAGGGGGTCCGGTCATCCAGGCCCTTAGATATGGGGGGCGCGGTCTCAAAAAAATATTTTTTTTCGATTCTTCGGGCCTCAGTTTGGTTTAAAAATAAGGGGGGTGGCCCCCTCGGGCCCCTCCCCTGGATCCTACACTGGGTACATACTCTTCGTAAAGCACAGCCTGCGTCGCAGACCTAATCTAAGTAGCATGAACTAGAAACGTCTTCAAAGCGGCGCCAATATCCATGTTTTCGGCCCCCAACGAACTGAACGAGTTACCGGAATATCATTTCGAATTTCCTTTCATCCTGATTGGTAAATTGATGATGGCTTTTTCAACAGGCCAATCATGGCGAGTACTCAAATCCTCGTGGGGGACCAGAATAAGGATTTCGGCGCTTTTTCGCAGACGGACTTAACCAGAAGTCGACCCAACCGGCCCATGAATTATGTTTACACATTTAGGGATTGTGTAGCGTAACAAATTAAATCTCGCAAACTATAGATGGTTTTCACAGTGACTTCATCAAACTGTAAAGTTAAAATAGCCGGGTTTTACGAATTCTTATTTACACTAGGTTGAAGATAAAGAAAAAGTAAATCTTTGTGCAACTTTCCATTCCCTTAGCATGTTTCATTTCGAAAATACAGCAATTTGAACTTCCGAGTTTTCACAGTGTGTGACACCAAAATAGCGGGAATGTTGTCTCGTTGAAAAAAGTCTCTCCTCTTGATTTTCAGCAGTATAACCATTTCAAGTATTAGAAGATAAGTCTATTCGCACGTATGCTAGTTCTCGAGTGAAAAGAAAGAGCTTTCATAGAAAAAGTGAACTCCAGTTTGTTTTCGTTGATTTCCGTCGGCCATATTGGTGCACCAAAACGATACACCAATACTGCGTCTCCTTACAAAGCTCTGCAAAGGTGCGTGAAACGTTTCGGCAAATAACTCAGAAACTGTCAGAACTGTGGGCCACAAAGACCTGAGACTTGGACAAATTGTTTATATATTAGTCTTTTATAACATTTCATTTTCTTGGCTTCTTCCACTGGGCGGTTTCCAATTTATTTTTTTGTTGCGTGACAGTGAAACTCATTGGAGAGGGGTGTATTAAGAGAGAGGAGGGGCTTATTAGATAGACTGAAATATGAAAAAGAAACAGTTGTTAATATTTGAAAGTGTAACGCTTCTAATCAACAATACCTGTTCTTTACACCTCCGTAGTTTCGTTTGTAGTTCATCTCTGTCAGCTATGCTTACTATTAGTCGCTTCTGTAGGAAGAGACACAGGGGGATGTTACCATTTTCAAAAAGCCGGCTTCCCGGAAATTCCGGCTGAATAGCCGTAAAATGAAACGCCACTTTTCGGGTCGTTACAGTGGAAACTTTTCAGGAGCAACGGAACTTCTGAAAAGGTTGCCCTGATTTCCCAATGAGAATGTTCCAAACGAAAATTCATCTTCCACTTTTTCAAAACTTCCTTTGATATAAGTTTTAGGCGCGTTTGTGACACGGTTCGTGGTAACATTTACATCTACATTAATTACGCAGGATGACGTTGTCAGCCAGCATCATAAATTCGGTAGCGCATTCCTTTCGTATTTTTCTTGGCAGTCAAAAATTGCCTTGTCTTTTTAACTTTCCCGTATCCCGTGCCCGTTCCGAAAACTTGGGTGATTTTTATTGGCTGCAACTTCGAATCACTTGCTGGTCAGGTTGGACTGCACAAGCAGTAAACAGATACTGCGTCTGCAACGGAGGGAAAAGTAAGCTTACTGCGTAGAGGAGGACAAAGCCAAGGCTGTGCTCTAACTTACGGCGCCCGGTCGCTAGACTGCAAAACAGTCGGTTTTTTCTTAAAATCAGAAAAGAAATCTGTAAAGCGTGACGTAAGAGTCTTGCGCGAGCGAAGCGCGCGAGCGTGCACGACACCCTGTAACGAGCACAGATCTCTTAATTTTCCTCCTTTCACCCTTCTCCACTAAATAGACTCTTATTTCTGGTAGTGGAAAAAAATGCTGTCGATGTATAAGACAATCTACCTTAATGTGAAACAGCTCAGAATATATTTCATTAGCTCTCTTTGCCAGTGTACTGCTTTCGAACTTGAGAGATTGATTCTCTTCCTGCGTCCTGCAAAGCTCATCTACGAGGGCCTATAAAGTTGACAGACACACAAAATCATTTTTGCAGTGCCGCTAGTTAACTAATCTGATCAAGACCCCGTAAACACGAGCTGGGACAAATTTTTGAACGGACACAACTTGCACACGGTTCCGCCTATCGTTTACACAGGACAACAAACGATACTGCAATCTGTTACAGAATTTGCACGGCTCCGTGTAAACGAGTTGCACAGGCAAAATATTTGTCCATTCAGAAATTTTTCACAACCCCATTCAGCAACAAAATGAGTTGAGACACTTCGCCCTAAATGGACTTTTTGACGTTTTCCGGACTTCAAAAGGGGAAAAGATAACGTTTCCTCCCCCATCCCCTCCATGCAACGTTGTGCCACTGTTCGAGCTACCTTTAGAAAACAAGAAACATCCCAACTTTGAATGGAGGGGACATGGGAGGGGTGTGGATTCTTATGTTTCACAAGTTACCCTATTTGAGTACAATGTCTCAGCAACTTTGTCGCCGATTGCCGTGTTAACGGTGTCTAAAAAGCATCTTCATCAACATAACATTTTTGACCATTTTTCCATGTCTATACTAAGTTTTTCTAGATTTTATAGGCGGCATTACTGCGGTCAAACGTCTGAGGCGTTTCTTTTAAATTTAGATATCAACAATTACCTTGTAATTTTTCAGCGCGTGTTCCTGTCTTGCCAGAAGCTTGGCCCTTGCTCTTGATACTGGAGCAGAGTACACTCGATGTTGTAGTCCAGAGACTCCTGTCCTAAAACAACTTACATGTGATCTGCTTGACAACAGACGATGCCTGGTGACCATTGTGTGTTCATCATCATCAATCTCTGGAAATGACTTGAGAAACAAATGTTTGAAAATAGCTTTTTCCTCATCCTTCATTCATCTCTGAACTCAAATTGGACGTAAAAGTATCCACGCTATTTTTCAAAAATAGTAGGGAAAGTTTCCCTGGTGGTGTGGTCTACCCCTACCAAGCCTGCTATCACTAACATATGATACAGTATGTCCATTAGCTGCCGCACCTACAGCGGCAGCCAGTGGCGCCGTTGTATGCTGATATCCGAGCTTACTGGAAGAAGAAGAGAATCATGTTTATTGTCAAGAGGGCCGGTATGCAGAAACTTTGATTATGCTCAAGGTATAAGGAAGTTTAGAGATCTAAGGCTCCACATACTGTTGCCCTTACGTCCTGCCATAATATTAGATCGTATGACAAGGCCTGAGGTGCTAAAAAGCTGATGACAGAACTGGAAATATAAATATAGATTTAATTCGTAGGTTAGATGACACGTGTTTTTTTTCCTGAGAACGTAACTGGCTTTTAAGACTGATTTTTCGCCTTTTAAAGAAATTTACCCAGCCTGTTAAAGAGTGATACAGCCAGCTACTTGTCTTTTGAGGTTCTTTCGAGGTTTCAAATTTAGTCTCACCTTATGACAGTTTTCAATACTCTCTTCCTCTTTCTTAATCTGCGATTCATGATCAGCTACCTGTAAATTTCCACTAGGTTTCGTTTGGCATTCAACATGAGTCACAGCAACGGACTCCTGTTCTCTTTCATAATTTCTTTCTCGATAACTTTCTAAATTTGTCTCATGTTCTGTCTGACTTTCAGCATCACAAGATCCAGGTTCCGTTTGGCATTCAACATGAGTCACAGTAACCCACTCTTGTTCTTTACCATTATTTCTTTCTCCATAATCTAAACTTGTTTCATGTTCTGTCGGACATTCAGCATCACAGGATCCTGTAAATAAAAATTACAAAATGAAATCAATTCTAACAACCAACACACAGAGGCTGCAAGAGTTACGATGACAACGACAACAGTTGCCTCCTTTCGCCACTGCGCATAACTTTGCGCATCGAGTAAAAGTCCGAGGAACCTCCCCTATAATCTAACCAAGGGCAAAAAAAATCGAAGAAAACTGCAGTTCTCAGATTGCCATTTCCGTTTTTTGGTGCTTTTTTTTAAAAGTTTTCCCGATAGCACATCTCGCCTCAACTGTCTTAGAAAAATGCCCTGTTAGCCGCAGCTTCCTAAAATAGATTTCTTCTTTAGTCCTCTGCCGAGATTTTTTTGTGGGAAAGCCCCAGGTTAGCGGGGCTAACCAAGACTTCTTAAGCTGACTCGTCCTTAGTCGTCTTCGCATAACGGGCACGGCGGGAGCAGGGGTTTTCTGTCCCTCACTTTCCTCCTTCCCATCACACCCCGTACGCCACTACTCTCTAGGGAGAGGCCGGGTCGTGACAGACGACTGGGGGCAAGTCAGGGTGAAATAGTAGTGTAGGTTATGAACCGGTCATGAAAGAGCTCGCCAAAAACGTGGTACAAAATCTCACAACCGTAAGCGATTCGATTTGACAGCTAATTTTCCTTACATCTTCTCTTTCCATTCCTCTCTCCCCTGCCGAGTCCCTTCATACTTCGAGGAATATATGTTTCGTAGAAAGTGTTTCTCTATAAGGACACAGCTAGGGTGCAGCTGTTTAGCAATTTTACACCAAATCATGCCAAAATTAATGTAATCATTATTCGAACTACCAAATTAAAGTAATACTGTAGTTTCAAGTTTATAAATATTTATAGCCACACTTACCAATTAGTGTAGTCTTTAAGGAACTGTTTTCATTATTTTTTTCTTGTTCTTTATGGTCCACAGTACCCTGAAGACCTGAATGATTAGTACCTTCGTTAACTTTTAACGTTGCTTTTTCTTTATCCAGAGGGGTTTTCTTCATCACTGTGCGAAGGGCATTCAATTCTTCGCGCTCTAAATCCAACCTCCTCCGTTCCGCTGCCAATTCTCCTTTCTCATACCAAAGTTTATCTCGATCACATTCTAGTTCTTTCGCATGAAGCAGGGAATTCCTTCTTATTTTACTCAAGCTATCATGACTATTAAATACTTCATCTACAAATGATTCCATTTCTAATTTGAATTTTACGAGCTCTGTCGACAAAGATTCGTTCGGAGCCTGTGATGCCACAAGTCTTCCCTTTAAGCTTTGGAGAATAGGATACACTTCATCGATATCTGTGTATTTCGATTGTGAGCTCTCTACAGCCTCAAGTAGCAGTCTATTTTTTGTCATCGCAGCTTCGAGTTTTCTTTGAAGAATAGAGACACCCTCTAGAAAAGGTCCAACATCCAGCAACGCCATGCTGGAGTTTTCGTGATGAAACTTGATTACTTTTTTTAAAGATCGCGTTGACAACACATGTAATTAAACAATGGTACGAAGGAAGAACAACCTACATTCCCGCGCTTGCTTCTGATTGGTTTATTTCTAGGTCAATATCATTGAATATTGAATATCATTCAATATTTATTACGTACAGTAGTTCTCATAACCTTGTTGACGTTTATATAGATTTTATCCGTTTTGCAGTGGTTCACACGAAGACAAGATAACAAAAGCGGTTTTAACCAAAGAAGACCAAAGTTTTCCATTAAAAGATGTCATTAACCATAACATAATCTAAAACTGCTTTTCAACTTCTCTGTGACGAAAAAAATGCATCAATCGCCTTAGTCATTTAACAAAAATGTCACCCGGTTTTAAAAGGTACAGAAAAGGAAATTAAAAAGACTCTTAAATGGTAGTTACTTCAGTTTAATTCATAAATATTTTATTCAGTATATTATTTGAAATAGAGACACAGTAGACTGGGAGTCGTCACGCATTAATTAAAGCCACTGGAAATGTACGTGTCTTAGTACATATTATTCCACTTATGGAAATGCTACTTGATTTTCTTCTCTTGGTCATGCAGTTTTTCAGACTGAAATTGCTAGTGATTCATGACTGGGTTTAAGTTTACCTGCAGCTCTATACCGATCAAACTGTGCCCTGATTCATGTCTCAGGTCATAGGACAGGATGTGACGTCAAAGATAAATTTTAAACAAACTACTGCACTAAAAGAATTTTAAAATTATTTTCGTCTTTAACTAAATTGAAAACTCAGAAGAAACTCTCCTTCTTGTCAAACGAAGACAGCTGAATAACAGAAAATCGGTAAGTTCTAGCGGCAAAAGCACTAATGTCTATGTATTCCAGTTGTGATAAATTAAACATTTCTCGCCGGTGCGACAATTTTAAATTTTTGAAAAGCGTTCAACTTTAGCTTTATTATTTTTTTAACATTGATAGGGAGCTGTATTCGCCGACCCAATGATCGCAAAGAAAACCATAAGCGAATAGCATTATTGTAAAAAATTGCAACCTCGAGTAACTAAGTCAAGACTTAGCGTTTTGTAGAATTATCAGACTTAATTCAAAATTTGACAAATTTATTATAAGATAAGACCGATGGAAAAGAACACCAAATCTTCTCCCCCCGAAATAGATTGGGCAGTCTTAAAAAATAACTAAAGCGGCTGTGTCACGGCTGACTTGTTCATTTTGTTTATTTTGTCAATAACACCTCTTTATTCGCATAGGAACTTCAAGTTTAATAGCGACTGAAGAACAGAATTCCGTCCTTTACACAAATGACAAAACACTGCTTCCTGTCAAACATAACATATACGTCTCCCAAGCACTATACAAAACGTTACACACAAAAAGAATAAACTTTGAAAAACTGTTAGGCTAACAAGTTTTCAAACATGGCAATTGCAATCCGTTTTAATCTTCTTCTAAGTTAGTCATCCGCGTTCGTATTTGCTAAGTTATTTAGGCCACCTTTTGATGTTTCGAGCGGTTATTTAAGTTTCCCTCAAATTGGAGGCAGTTCCCACAGTTTGAATTTTGATAAATTTCGCGATACAGCTCCTTTAAGTTTCGACCCACCGGATGTTATTTGTAAAGTGGTTCGTTTATGACTCCAGAAGTTTTGTGCAAAAAAACTGGGTCAAAGTCCACGCACCCAAATTTGCTCCGGTGCTACGGTGCACGATCTCATTGCTTCCGCGTCCAAAGTGCAACTTTCTTGTTTCCAATCATGAACTTTTTTTAGGTATAATCCTGAGACGATTCACGGCCAATACAGCAGAGAAACACGGTCATCCACGCTTTGACTTCAAGTGTTTTTGTTCGCTTTACATTATTCAGTTAAAGAGGTGGTTACCCATAAGTTATGGGGTGGTTGTCTACATATGTAAAAAAAAAAACAATTGACGGAGAAAACAAATTCCGGTGAGCCACGTTGAACTTTGAAAAGTAAGTCAAAAAACTGTTTATTAAACAGTAAGAAATGAACTGAGTTGTTTTTTTTATATATTATATATATCGTGTTGTTTTCCAAACGTTTTGGGTCTGGCCCTAAGTCAGTAGAATTAACGGCACTTTTGTTCATACGTTATAATGAACATTTCCTTGGCCTACATTTGTCAGTAATAGAGAAGACGACTTCAGTAGAGCATACGTTCAGCTTACGTTCGACAACTCTAGTTGTTACATTTACCAGCTGTTTTATTCCTCGATATTCCGGTTTGGCGGTAAAAGGAGGATATCCGCGGCCGAAGGTTTCCAAAACGCATACAGCGCATGACGCATATAAAATAACGCATATGTAAACAAAAGTGACCAACATAATAAAATTTTGCAAATGAAGAATATGTGAGACACTTCAAAACAATTGTATTACAATATGAAACAAATATCGTGATCCTTTCGAAAATCCCGCTCTCTTGACCATTTTGAACAATATAAAAACCGAGTGGACTTTTAGACAACCAGTGGTCAAACTGGGACGAACTTTGTTCTCGAAGAGAGTCGTCTTTGGTACGGAAGAAGTTGAAATAATTATTAGGCTTCAGTGGCCGGTATGCAGACTGGTGTGAGCTGGTCGTTGTACTGAGAAACTTTATGAAATGGCCAAACAATGAACTGTATAAATATCAACTAACTGTAGCCCCAAATAATCTGTCTTAATCTGTCTTAAGCTGCGAGTTCCTTTTTTGAGATTTTCGTTCATCAGCATTTCCTAGTATTTTCAACCTGGTACAAACTAACAAACAAACAAACAAACAAACAAACAAACGACGAAGACCTTATTAATGGTTAGAGTTGCTACAAGTCGACCTCTCGAGTCGAGTTTCTTTGCCAGCGGAACGAGCTTTTTAGCCCGCGAAGTGGCCAAGCGAGCGACGAAGTCGCGAGAGGTCCTGCGCCGTATTATTCAGACGATGGACTTTTTTGAATGTCTAATTCATGGTCTATGGTCCTTATGAGGTGCCACGCAAACAGAAGACTTCTCGGAAAGAATAATCGGATTTTCAAAAGCGGCCTTTATCACACAAAAGCAGAAAAATGGGTGTTTCTCGGTGTAGCGGAAACCATAGCTGGTTCGCTTTTGTTTTGCAGTGGGAGTAATGTTCAGTGTCTTTTCAATCTTTTGTATTACATCATTTGGCTATTGCACCAGTCCACAACACCAAGAAACTACCAGAAAATTGGCTTAACGCTTAAGGTTGCTTGATGAAGTTTATTTGTTAGCGCATGTAAAGCGATTCCAAAGCTGAGGTTCCGTATACGGCCTTTGGTGACCAACTTTGAGTTGACGTCAGAATTATTTGCGAAAATGAGTTGTAATAAGAATGAGAATAATGGAACTTTTTGTTCCATTATTCTCCCTTGCTGTCAACTGATCAAACTTAACTCATGGCCAAGACAGAAAATATTTAATATTGAGTGCAATATTCCATTAATTTATCATTTGTCAATTTATTATTGCAGGTATCACCCCATCAGTATTTATAAGAGCCAATCACATTGAAGTCATTACAGGTGGCCAATTTGTACAAATCCGCGTTGGCATAAGTTACTCAGCAGATTTTAAAGCAAACATTAATGTCAATTTCCTGAAAAAAAAAGCGGATTAGAATTGACTCCCTGGCTACACAGTTCTCGATACAGGGCCGAGCTTCGCATAGAAAAAATGGATCACGCAGGTTGTTTAAGTCCGTCATCTGCCGCTCCGTCCGATGCAGCAGCTCTTGCGGCTGTCTGTGGTGATTTACTTCCACCGGCCTCGTTCACGTCTTTGCAGGCTACAGCCGAGAAAACGGCCATTGGAAAACAAGCATTCACTGCCTACCTTCCACCGACTGCAAAACAATTTAAAGGGGCAAGGCGTATGCTGGCTCTTGCAATAAGTTCTTTAATCTACTTATTAGAATGCACGGTGACGATTGTTGTCTTTCTTCTGACAGTTCCTGCATTGCTGATTGTACTTCCCACTTTCAAGTTGGGAAACTGTATCTTTGAACGATACATATCTTACAAGAGGAAATGCATTCCTTTGCGAGGGGATGACGCTGTCTGGCAACAAGATCGTCCAACAAACCGCCACATAATCCACGCTTTGATGGTCGTAGAAGGAAAACCAGATATCGCGAAACTCCGAGAGATTATCCAAGAGCGACTTGTATATGGACAAGACGAAAAGGGTAAACGAATTTGTCCGCGAATGACACAAGTTATTCAAAACCATCTGGGTTACTTCGTTTGGAAGGAAGACAAGAGCTTCAGTATGGAAAAACACGTTTTGAACTGGGAAGGAAATCTTCCAAAAACTTTGGATGATGTGGAAGAAACAATTGCCGAAATCTGCCCCAACCCGCTACCGGAAAATCTTTCACCTTGGCAATTTCTTGTATTTCCAGTACTCGAAGAAGATTGTTTTGGCCTTTTACTGCGCATTCACCATAGCGTAGCTGATGGAGTCGCTTTGACGAGGGTGTTTGTAAGAAACCTTTACGATGTACCGCCAATAGCTCCAGAACCCAAGAAATTCACCACAAAGCAGAGATTTTACATGTGGTGCAAAGCGTTAGTCGTAGGCCCTTTCTTTGTTTTAACAAAGTTTTTTTCAAAAGCCGACTCCTCTAAGATTCATGGACAAGAACTGTGCGGCACGAAAGTCGTAGCTTGGTCCAAAAATGTCGACTTGTCATTGGTTAAAAGGGTAAAAAACATAACTAGTTCAACAATTAATGATGTGATGGTTTCGTGTTTGGCAGGAGCTTTGCACGATTATCTAAAGGGTGCGCAAAACACCGACGTTGTAAACCTCGAAGATATGTGGGCTTCTGTACCCGTGGACATTCGCGCCTCTTCAAAGTCTGTAAAACTGAAGAATAAATTCGCTCTGGTGTTTCCTAGGCTACCAATTGTTGCTGACAACGCTGTGGACAGGCTCTTAGCAACAAAACAACGCATGGACAGTATGAAAACATCCGCTGAACCTTGGATCACTGCAGTAACTGTTCAATTAATGATGCTGCTACCAGACTGTGTTTCCAAGCGGCTTATTGACTTCTTTGCACAAAAAGTCTCTTGCGTCATCAGCAATGTGCCTGGGCCCCCACACCTTTTGTACCTAGGGGGCCAGAAAGTTGTCCAGGGAATCTTTTGGGTCCCTAAACGAGCGAATGTCGGAGTGGGTTTCTCGATATTCAGCTATGCAGGCGGTATTAGGATTGGGGTTTACTCGGATGAATGCGTCATTCCTAACCCCAGGGAAGTGGTGAAGGGATTTGAGAGAAACTTCTGGCAACTAGTGAAAGAGCTTAACATCAATGGAAATGTATGAAGCCAACCAACGCGCTACGATTTAACAAGGCTATTTTTTAACCAGAAGAAAACGCCGGGTAAAAAGCGGCCGATTCTTTACAGATCGGACCCAAATGAAGACTACAAATCAAAGTGTCTAAAACGGCATTCAGTTTTGGAGGTAACAAAAAATCGATTCACTCTCGCAATTGTCTTACAAGTGATGAAAGAAACTTTAGGAGGGTCAATGCTATTTCCGTACTGTATGTATTTTAAAGACTTAATGTTAATCATGTGGTATTTGATTATCTCGTTCAGAGAGATAGAAATTTTATCCAAACTGCTAAAAATGACCGCCATCGCTTATTTCAACATAATATGATGTTACTAGCCTTCACAACAGGCGTTATTTTTTCGCGTTTTTCAGGCGAGCGAAGGCAAGCGCAAAACGAGCGAGGCGCGCCAGACACATTTTTAGTGATTCTTTGGTGTTGCAGACAATATAACTCGCAAGGAGGGATCAATTGCAATTGAAATGAAGAAATGAATATACTTTATCGAAGAAGTAGATCCAAGAAATAGTAGATAGGTGTACGGTGGTTGAGAGTAATTAAAGCGCAGTGCTCTTGACTGTATATCAACGTTGACGGTTGTTTCAAAACTCATAGCTTGCCTTCATGATTTCCTTGCAATTCATGCTCAGCCGCTATTCTGCCTAACCTTGAACACTAAGATCCAAGCAATTCAAATACCGTAAAATTCCGAAAATAAGCCCCGGGGCTTATATTTTTCAAAGGCCCTTTTTGAGGGGCTTATTTTTGGAGGAGCTTATATTCGGAGGGGCTTATGTACGGAGGGAAATTTGCGTTTCAAAATCGATAGGGCTAGCCTTATAGTTGGAAGTAAATTTACCGTTTTTGCTTTGTTTTACTTTGTATTTGAGGGCAATTTTCCAAGTACAAGCCCCCGGGGGGCTTATATTTGGAGGGGCGATTTAACGGACGGTTTTTTGCGTTATCGGTTTGGGGGGCTTACATTTGGAGGGGCTTAGATCCCGAATTTTACGGCACAGTTATTAACAACGACAAGTAATGTAAGTCAACAGGGCTTTCAGTAGCCTATGTGACAAGCGCGCTAGGATGGTTAAAAGGTGAGACTTGCGAGAAACCTCGCTCCCAGGGCTTTTCCTTTAAGTTGAGACCTTTAAATTCTAAGACGAGTACGACTACGAGTACGAGATTTTCTCAATCAGTTCTCAATACTTAGTAGTGCTCGCGCGTGAATCAACGTCATTTTGGCGGGAAAAAGTGGTAGCCCTCGTCACTCTTCTACGAAGTGGCGGAAACAAGTTATCAAATGTTGGAAGTTTTATTACTTTGCGATCGAGAGAGCGCGTAACCTCCTCCCTTACTACAGATAACAGTGCTAACTTTTTAGTGAAAAATGGTAAAATGAAGCTTTCCGGGAAGTCTATATTTTGAGAATACGCGAAAAAACTTTAAGTCAAATCTCGTTTTCGTAGTCGTCCTCGTCCAACGAGCTTGCGTTGATCGAGCAAAAAACCAACGAAAGAGGCAGCTGGCAAGAACATTACAATTTTTATTACATTTGTAATTTCATTATTCACATTTTCAATAATGACTCAACTTGAGTACATAAAAGCGATAAATTCATAGATAAATAAATAATTTCACTGATTTTTTTTGTTTACTTACTATCTCACCAATTTTTCTGGCTTTCTGATCAGATCAGTCACCGCGTCATTGCATTGAAGGCTAGCGTGTCACTTGAAATACGTTAATTGAAAATTAGGACCTGCTATACACTAGTCTTACAATAAAGGTTATAATATTTGATTTCCAAACTTCTTGTACTGTTCATATGACATGAAGAACTGCAGAGAGTTAAAGAATAATCGAGTATGAAAAAATGTAGATTAGCCCACAAGTTGAGCTCAAAATTTTTCTCAATAATTTTCCGCGGCAACAGTGAGCAGGAGCTCTTTGCGCTGGGGCTTTCTACCAGAACCGGAAATGAGAAACAAAGGACTTCGCGAAAGTCCAATAAAAATGTGAAAATGACCTGATTTTGAATAAAACATGGTAGTACCATTCCTCCCCCCTGACACTTATTTTTCTAGTCTCACTTCGAGCCTTACCATCGCATTGTTTCCATTGGCAAGAAACTTTTGAGCACTTACCATTTGTATGGAAAACCTGGTATTCAAATGGAAGGTTCATTCCGGTGGAATGTTTTCGGAAAAAGTTAATACCTTCCATGCCTTCACCGAATTCACGAAAATTTCTGTACCATTTGTTCAGAACTAGCCAGGCTATTTCCAAGAAAACGGCAATGCCCAGGATGGCGGATTCAAGGGATGAATCTTTACCATTCCAACCTGTTTGTTACTTTACAGCTGTTTTACTCGCTTCGCCACTGATAGCAGACTTCGCAACCCAACTGTGGCACTCAAGGTGAGCACGATTTAAGTTTTGGTCGTCGGTACTTGCGTTTTACTTCTGCGTCAACTATTCCGCGTGCCTTTGAGTTTAATGGCGCGGAAAAGCACTAGAATCCGAAACTTCAGATCAAATGATACGACTCAATTCGTTTCGACCATTCCGTTTTTCTTGGTAAAAAAAAGTGGCCATCCATTTGTCAAATGAAGTCCACCGAAAATACTTTGCTTCACTACCGTTTTTTACCCAACGGAACCAACTTCCCAACATACTGAGACTCAAAGGTTGAGAAGCTTCAAGCTGCAGAAACCGTGATATGTGGGCCATTGGCCCACAGTGCATCTTTACCCATTTTTTAAACCAGTCCCACACCAGTGCCTATAAACAGCTGGAATAGTCCACGTTCGAGGCTACTTTTGGTTTGATTTTCTTTGTGCTCAAGTCTTTTCTGGGAATTGCGAGACAACGAAGTAGCTCGAAAGCCTCGGAGTTTCATATAATTTTATTGAACGTGGGTTGAGTCAGATTGAAATGCTAGCATTTCAAGTGACACTATAATGCTACAGTTTCAAACGTTAAAATTATCTGTTTTACAATAACTATTATTACATTTAGGCCAAAACATATATCAATAATTTTTTTCAAGGATACAACAACATTCCAGGGAAATAATCTCATAAACTGGGGCACAAATCCTCGATACAAAGCAAGGAATCCTTCAGACTTGAAAGTCTAAAAATGATAGGTAAAACCAAGGATGACAAAATCAATAACTTTGGGCAACTATGACTGATAAAAGTTGACAAGATACATACTGACATTTGCAATGAATGCACCAACAACAGACATTAATTATGATGATAACAAACTTAACCCATTTATTTAATCCTAATGGTGGACAATGCAAAATGTATTAATTTTGTAAACTTACAGTAACTAAACAGTGTGTTGAACTTCTATAAATCACAGTCCCTTCACCAGGCTTAACCTTAAGATTTCTCTGATTCATCATTCTGGTCTGCAATGAAAGCAGTAACAAAAGAAAGTTGCAGTGTGGCATGGATCAGAAAAGTTACAAGTTAATGGTACACCATGGGCTTAATACCAATCAGTTGATCAATTGAGCCTAGTTGTGCAAAGTTCTTAGCACTAACTCGGGGTTAAATGTTAATTCCGGTTCCCTTTTATTTTGTTCAAATGCATTTTGTTAGATAACTTTCTCTATTCTTTTTAGAGCATCCAATCATCTACCCTGGTCCCAGAAGTTTTTCTTGAAATTTTTCTTTGCGAAAGGGAGAGCGAGTCGCGAAGCGGCGACAACAAGTCATGAAGCAGTAAGGAGCGACTTGGTGCCTTACAGAGACTTTGTGACTCATTGTCGCCGCTTTGCGGCTTGCTCTCTCTTTCCCGAACAAAACTTTCAAGAGAAACCTCTGGGACCAAGGTACCAATCATCAAATTGTAGACAAAAAGAATGAAACCGAATTTGCTTTGGAAGCTTTCATATCTGAATTCAAATTTTGCACTAGTCCTGGGTTATCTTAACCCAGCTTTGAACAACCCTGCCCTGGTATAAACTCAAACAGACCACAACATGTCACCTTATCATTATGCCCTCCCAGCCCATCCAAATAAATACATTTCATGACATTTGTAAATGTAGATACTGTCTTATCAGACAATAATAACAACAACCTAGTAATGCATCTTTACGAGCCGTGTTTAACAGGTCTTTACAAAAATTTTCCAATTGGTTAATTTGGAAAATTACAGGTGAATTAGAGGGGTGGTATTCTGCATTCATGCAGTTGTCTACTGCGACAATATTTATGAAAGAAATACTAGCAGGGAAGAGTCCTGGCATGCTGTAGGGGTTAATTTAGCATGGTATATAAAGCACAGCACTTTTTGTCTACAATGCAACAAACCTTGACAACATCGATAGGATTTGATGCAACAGCTCCTGCAAAACCAGCCATGCCACTAGCACTGAAAAACAGATTTTAAAAACAGAACAGTCAGCAAGTGACAACCACACCTTTGTGCTAAATATTCCCTCTGCTTTGTCCCCAGTCCTTATTTTTTGCTCTTTTCCACCTGATGCCCTGTCTTGTCCTCTATGCTAATCTTGCTAAGATAAAAAGAAACTACACAAGCTAGCAATAGCCCTCCGAAACTCACCTAACATCTGAAAAAAGTATCTTAGTATCTCGTTATTATCCTGAGAACTCATTCACATCTTAATTTACAACAATACAAATAAATCATTGTTAGTATGAATTATAATAAACTACATTAAATTAACACACAGAGGTGGTCATTAAGTAGCGAGCCTCTGTTAGAGTAAAATTCTGAGAAGTGACATGGCCTTTAAACAACACCATAAAGACAACTGAAATGGCAACAAACAACACAAAGATGGGTTAAAAATGTGAAAGCCCTGAAGAATCCTCAATAAGCAAAACAAGTTGAGGGGGAATTGACCTTGACAAACCCCATCAAGCCACCTGCAGCGTAATATTATTGTATTTTACATTTACCAGAAGTGAGTGTAAGGATTGTCATCCATAAGTTTGTAATCCAGAATCATCTTTTTACACCAGTCATAAACTGGAAGCTCTACTCCAGCAATGACAGCAGCTCTCTGAGCTGTGGGTCCAACTCCCTGAGAAAAAAAGGTGTGCATGAGATAAGGTACTAAGTGAATCCTGATCTAATGTGGAATTCTCCCTTTGACTCAAAAACACATACAAGGCAAATTGGAAGGAGACTCTAGTAGTCGATCTATCAGAATTCACTTGCAATATCCAATAACTTAAGCCTTCCAACCATATACAGCAAGCAACTCAGCAAAATTACTGAAGAACTTTGCTTATGCCCATCAGTAAACAAAAGTCTTCTACTAGTATCAGATTAAAACGGCCTGGCCATATTTTTTTTGAGTATTATATAGCTGTTGTTGATTATATTGTTGTTGTTTCATTCACCCAACTTCATTGTGTCACCAAGTGAGATAACTGAACGCATTTCATTCATTTAAAGTACTCAAAAAATTACCCTATACAGTCCCCTGAGTCCTTCCTCTTTGAACATGGACACAAAAGAATTAATCATTCCTTTCCTAATCACATTGGTTCCTGCCTGATACTCCGCTTGCATGCGAATCTGTGCAAAGGAACATTTTAAGGTTTTTAACCAGGTAATGATTGTCAACAATAATAGTAGTGGTGATTGAAGTTGATGACAATGATGAAGGTTACGATGGATGGTTACATGTATGATGCTGGTGGTAGTGGTGGTAATGTTGATGATGACAACGACATGAGATGGTTTGTAATAATCTTCTTAGGACGACAATGGCAACGATACTGATGACTACCAAGATTATGAATATGGTGACTATTGAGGATGATGACAGTCGACAATCTCAAATTAAACTAGTTCCGTTACTGGTGGTAATGATGATGGTAACAGATGGTTCGTAACAATATTAATTTGATGACAAAGACAATGATAATGATCGTTATGAAGGTTTATGAATTGAATATTTAGTAATAATTAAGTGTAATGTCCCAAATAACACTAGTATCGGTGCTCTTAGTAGTGATGATGATGGTGATGAATGTGAGGTTTGCAATGGTAATTATGATGGTTACAGGCGGTTTGTAGTAAAATTGTTTTGATGATAATGACAATGATACTGATGGTTAAGGTTAAGAGTAAATGTATGATAATGTGGATGATGACAAATTATGATGATAATGGACACTCCCAAATTAAACTAGTACTGGTACACTACTAGCGTAAGTTTAACAGAGTCACATTGTAAACATAAGCACTCAACAGTTTAGAATTTTACCTTCAATACATCAGTTGGGTTACAAATTGCTGATGAAACTGCACCAGCAATAACCCCTGCAATGCCATTGTAAAAAAGAGTTTCATCTGTTGGAAAAATGACCACTCATGGTTATAACTTAATCCATTGAATAATGAAGATGTGTAGTAAATGAATAACCCTTTCATTCCTAGACCAAGTTATGAAGAGGTGATTTCAAGAATACTGTCTTGCTAACTTTTCATTCAACACACAAAACCTAATCTTGTACCCAGATCTCTTGTCAACAAAGCTGAATGCAAGATCTGTCAAATTGGATTTGGGCATGTGATTGCCTGTCAGGAATGGGAAAGGCTAAAAAAGGGCGAAGGCTTGAAAAAATCACTCAAAATGGCAGCTGTGTTACAAGGTGAATTGATAGAGCTGTCTGCGAAATTGCCTCTAACAAAATGTAGTTACACAGTTGCACAGCTTAAGTGTCAAGACCAACTAATTGATTGATTGATTGTTGTTGTTTTTTAGTAACATCAAATTCAAAGTGGCAGTTTGTTCAAATTTACATCTAATTGTCACAGTGCGAGATCAAAGCCAGCAAAGCAGCTAGTATATATCAATTTCTACTTGACAATTTTCTTTCACATGATATCTTGTTTTAAAGAGGGAGAGAAAGTTTAAAAGAGGGAAAGCTTTAAAAAGTCTCAAGATAAAAAGGGTTCACAACACATATTGAGAAGGAAGACTACTAACACAAAATTAATGTTTTTTGAACAAAACTTAAGACTTTGCAAAGAATGAATTACTCATGCCAATCGCATGCAGAAGCCAACACCCACATCACTCCCTCACAATCTAGGCAGTTAAGTAGCCAACAAAAATTGAATTTTCTTACTTAAGCAGATTAAGAAGAGATAAGACAAAAACCTATTGTACCACCTGTACATTACCACTGAAATGAGACCTCACTGGTAGAACTTTTACTTAACATTTAACAAAAGGATACCACTAACTGAACTTTTTGGTAAGTTATTACTTTGGCCACTATCGAGAGAAAAAAGGGTTACCTGATGAACTACAGCACCCACAGCTTTAGTTAAGTGAGGCATGGTTTTCATATGAAAACCCCAGCAGAGAATGCTCCATAATTTCTAACTGAAGTTTCACTGTTCTGCCCTGTCTATTTAACCCTTTAACCCAACAGGGGTTTCAATAAGCACCGACAATCGAAAAGTCACATTGGCTACTTTGCTCAGAGAAGTTGGCTACTTTTTTCCCCTAAAACTGAAAGTTGGGAATGTTCAGTGTTAAATTAAAGAAAGCTTCTGTCAAAACTAAACTTAAAATTCAATTTGCTGGACTTACACATACTATTCGCTTCATAATATTTAAAAATATTTATGAAATGACTGGGCCTTACTGTACATTACTTGTCCATTATGATCAGAAATGTGTTATCTTATGTTCATGTACTCAATTTAGTGCCCACAATGCTGGAAATTGCATTTTCGGGCATTGAAATTTTAAACATTTTTAAGGGAGCACATCCCAAAAAATTCCCTAGAAGAAGGGGACCAAAAGCCCCTTGTTGATTCAGTCGGTTACTTTATTCAACCTGCTGGCTACATCAATAATATTATTGAAACCCCTGACCCCTTTTTTCCATCAATACTGCCAAAAGAAAAATATGCACATTGATATCAGTTTAAACTGGTTAAGTCAGTCTGTTATCTTATTCACCTTTTGGGTTTTTCACCAGCTTTCTCTTGACAGCATGATAAAAGCCTAGCTTGAGAGATCCGTACGTTGCTTGTCGTAGAAGTGCAGGAGCAACCCTAAAAATAATGAGTAAAAAAAAAACAAAAACTTTCACAAGTATTGCTGGGAATAATTTGGCCATTTCATCATCTTCAGCTCCTTTTTTCCAGGCAGGAAAATAGGCAGGAACTTGGCTAACATGACAATCAACCTTATCTCTCCTCGACTGTGTTAATTGGCAGATCTATATTTTGCAGGGACGTAGCAGCAACTTTCCAGAGGAATGTACAAATTTCAAAAATCAAACCTCATCGCTTTAAGGGTTAATGTCACCTTTGGCATTAATTTATCAAGGTGCAGTGAAGTTGACTGAGTTTTGATGACAAGAAATAAGAACTGGCTATTGATAAAATCACAGTAAACCTTTAAGCTTAAATATCCACATATAAATTCTCCAAGTTCATTTATTCACACTTATTCAATTACAATACAACAACAATAAGAAAAAAGAGAAGTAAAAACAGAGCTAACTATACATTGAATTAAACATAACAAAGGAAAAAAGTGTGTAGCAGCCAAAGGAGCCAAGCTTTCGCGTTGGCTACTCCATACTGATCTTCATACATTTCTTTGAGAGTTTGATAACAGATCAAAGCATTTTCCCTTTAGTGATCATTTTATTAACTCTCATAACCATTTCTCTTGGCAATATATGGATATTGTTAAGAGAAAATTGATGTTGGTCACTATTGGGACTTAAAGGGTTAAGGACACAGTACCCATTGTACAGAGCCTTCAATCCATCTTCCTTTGCAATTCTCACAAATGCATGAAGCATTCCCCGGTATCTGATCTCTTTCTGCTTGGCATCAATTACTTGCCCTTGCAGCTGAAGTCTTGTCTTTGTAGTATCAATAGGAAAGGTTCCTGAAAGAATTCAATATAAAACAAGAGAGAGCCCAGTGCTGTTTCCAAAATATCCACAATTTATTGGTTCAACGAATATCTAAGCTTACGATCTTCTGGTTGAGGAAAGTCCTCTGCTCACATCTCTCCATCTGACCTTGAGAGGGGGATGTTTTAGAAATTTTGGGGTGGGGATGTACCACTTGGTCCCTGGAAATCCTTAGCCATGCCAGACCTAGTCCAGGTGAATTTTGCTACCCTTTAGACTAGGCTCCCAAAAACCTTCCCTATCCTAGAGTTGCTAATTTCCAGAAACTACCAAGGTTGAAGCTTTCTTTGCAATTAAATTGAATTGAGGGTAAATTTAAATTTGCTGATTTCATACTTTTAAGTGTTAATTCCCAGTTTCCCTTGTTTAGACTAAAATTTTCAACCAATAATGATCAGGTTCCTGGAAAAAAAATACCCTCCTCTGGACCCAAACTCTGATTTTTATACCCTTTCCCAGAGCAAAACTGTTCAGCAACCAACCTACATAGCCCACATATGGCGGTACTTCCCTCCCGCCCCCTGCAAAAAATCTCAGTGACAATGAAAGAGGAAGGTAACTGGAAAAATAGATAATACAGTTGACATGTCCACAAATAGTAAGATACTTTTCTCCAGTCTTTTCATATTTTGTACTTATGTTCTTTTGTTGCTAACCTGAAGGAAGGCTTTGATTCAGTTTTTCCCTTCTGATCCTTCTCAGTTTATATATCTTATTTTTCGGGGGAGGGTGGGTGGGGAGGAGAGTTTCGGGGGGGGGAGGGGTTTCCAGAATTTTTCCCCTCTCCACGATGGAAATTATGGGAATGACGAGAATCACGATGGTCTAATTTAAACTCAACACAAACATCTACCAAGGGACAAGAATTCCCGCACAAAAATATATATATCTGCACCCCCCAAAAAACCGCTCTTACGCTATTTATGATCTACTTGACTTGCCTAAGCGCCTATTTAAACGTTTGGACCTACGATCAAGTGTTCCTTCCGCCTTACCAAACTCTGCTGTCATAGAGGCCAATCCTCCATAGATAAAAGGTCTGTAATCCATAAAATGATGCCCTGGATGCTTGGATATTTCATAAAGAAATCAATCGACCCTTGTTCACCCTTGTTCAGTTTCCCGCTAAGTTGGAACATGCGATCTTTCTAGTCAGCGGACTACTATTTTTGAGAACGAGGCTTCCGAGGCTTCTGTTTCCGTGGAAACGTATCGAAGATCGAGTTTCTCGCTGCTGATTGGTCAATGCAAAATTTTTCAGCCAATCAAACATCGTGTGATTTAAACCCGCAAAAATCCAAATCGTTTTCAGTAGCAGTGCAAGGTTCGGTCAAAGCAAAGACGAAAGGAAGATAAGAGAACTTCGAAGACTATCGAATCCAAAAAAACTTGTATTTGTGCGAAGAATTTTAATTTTTTTGGCTAAATATTACTTTTTTACATTTCGAAATGGTTAAGACACGTTCTAGAGCAGCTGCACCGTCGGTATTTTACAAGAAATCCAAGGTTAGTTGAACCCAAATGCTTGGCCACGCTGTCAGTGATTCCGTATAATTCTTCCAAATTCTTGATTTACTTTCGACTTCTTCCCTTCAATTTAATTTGTCGTCCTTACTTTTCTTTTCTTCTAAAACAGGCCGATGCTTCAGATGAAAACGGGGTTCCTTCACAGGTGACTGTAAAGTCTATCGACCAAGGAAAACGGTCCGCCGAAGGCTCTCCCGAAAATGCACCTTCAAGGAAGCGATCTGTGTTTGGAGACATCACAAACAATGTAAGACATCAGCTTATTTCTTCACGTTTCAACTGTACAAAGGAAAAGTTCCCTTAGTTTATTTTCCTTCGGAATTTTAGGCAGCTCTGGTACCACTCGGAGGGAAGGATACGAAAAAGAAACAGATGAAAAGTGGCGTCGTTCGAAAAGAATCACAGAGACAAGGCAAGGTAAAAGTCGAGAAGAAGGCAAACACGAAACAGCGAAGAAGCAAGGAGTTAAAAGAATCATCTGTTAAACAACCGGTTATCATTACTGAAGACTCTCCATCTGGGGAAATTTTAAGCTCACAAGATTCCATCGAAGAATCAGCATCTAGTTCTCAAGACTCGCTGCAATCTACAAGGTTTGTTTCATAGGAGGAACACAATTATATATAAGATTAAGAAGCTTTCGAACGTTTGATTTTTTACTTGAATCTTACTATACGTGACATAAAAATGTTTTCATATAAGCTTTAATGCAAGAAATTGCTGGAAAAGCTTGCAAGGAATCCTTTGTTGCACGTTTGAAAGAAAGTGCCTTCACACAATAATGTCGTTTCTGTTTTGGCCATTTGCAGTTCAGTGACCAGTCTTGATGTGACTATACCTCAGAGTGGCAGCGATTCTGCAATCTCAAGCTTGGAAGAATCCTCCAGGTACATTGTTGACTTTATTTTCAGTTGGCAAGTATAAACCTCTGTATAAACCTCTTGTCAAAGCTAAGTAAGAAGTTTCATTAAACTTGTGAATGGGAGAGGCAGTAATTTTCAATTGCTTGCTGAAGGATAGATGTAAAAGCAATTTTCTGCACTTAAACTTCCAATTTATAGTAGTGGGCCATTTTTTCTGTGCATCTTAACACTTCCTTTAAAGGTATGGAATACATACATACTTACATACATACTTTATTGGCTCGTCCCCACGGGGCTTTTCAGAGTCAATTTTACATTACAAAATTATAAACCAAGTACATGACAATAAGAATATAACAATGATAAAAGAAGACAAAGGTCAATAAAAATACAGAAAGACATTTAGGAAATCTTCATAGTAGGTTCCACAACCAAAATTTTTCCCAATATACTAACTTAAGTCAAAACTTTTTTACTAGTGTTGATTCAGATAAAAATTCCAAAGATGACACAAAAGAGGAAGAGACTGAAGAGAAGGTAAATTAAAGAGAAATATTGGTCTGGAAAAATCTGTATGGCATGTTATCTAGTGTTTTAAGGGCTGCATAGCAGAGTAATTTAACTACCTCTGCAAAGCAGCACTTATAACCTAGCATGCAGAGCATGTTTTTCTTTTTTGAAGCACGACCCAAAGGTACATGGAGGAGCTCTGCAATTCTTGATCAGTTGAAAGTCCAAATCGATCACACAGCAAAATACGCCTCCTTTGCCTTGTTCAGGCACCCCAATGGACTCAAAAAAAAGTCGTTTCAAATTTGCTTTCGTCTAGATTTGCAAATCAGCAATGGCATTTTTAACAGGCCAATCATGGTACATAGTCAAATCCTGGGGGCTTAATGAGAACAAAAATTTCAGTGCTGTTTCAAAGACAGATTTAGCCAGAGTTTATTTTAGTCTGTGGTGCAGGTTTTGGTGAGAGCACTCGTGCCTTCCAGAAATAAAGTCAAAGTTTGAGTCCTAAAATCGATTGTGGCGTACATTGGTTGAGTTTGTTGTTTGTTCTGACCCTTGCACAAAGAGGTTTTTCTCTGATTACTCCTGTTTCCTTTCTTCTCAAAACCCCAAATTTTTAAGACTAACATGCATCCACTATGTAGATGCAGTGCTTCGATCCTTAAAGACGTACTACCTTTATATTGTCATTCATTTATTCTGTGGTCTAAATCACTAGATAAAATCAGAAGAAAGAAACGCAAATGATCAATCTGGATCAAGATTTATGATCCAAAACCGCGCAGACCATTGTACATTAAAAGAAGAGACTTGAGCAGTTCCTTTGATGCACCATGATCCGAGTGATCATAAATCTTGACATCCAGATAGTCCGTACAATGCCTGGTGCCCATAGATGATGCAGCAGTAGCTTTCAAAATTGAAAATACACAGTACTAACAGAAGAATTCCATTTTCTCAAATCCTCAGTGTTTTAAATTCTTGATTATCCAAACCTAGACTGCGGGCAGTCTCTCTTTTTCTTCAGATTTAGTGAGAACAATGGACCAGTCTCGCGTTATCAGTCACGCGCGTGGCTATTTGCTTTCTCGCATTTTGCGCGACAGACTACAGAAAAAAGAGAGACTGCTCGTAGTCTAATCCAAACCAAGTCTAACATCCCTTCACCAATCAAACACCATAATTTTACTCCTGGCTTTTTAGACCTCTTGATAATTAAAACCAATTTGCTTTTCTCAAGGTGGTTTGAAACATCATGATTCCACCACATATGCTGCCCTAATTCTAGAACAATCCATACATTTTCTTTTGGCCCCGCCCACTAGTGAGTCGCATGAATATTACTTGCATTCAACAGGTACAGGAGACTCCTGTCAATGATGTGATTGACATTGATGCCGAGAACACAGACCCTGTAACTGTTTCAGAATATGCACATGAAATCTTTGTCAATATGAAAAGGAGAGAGGTAATACTTTATTACGAACCACTGACAACATAGACTTTATCAAAGTTTTTAATCAAATTATACTTGAAATTGAAAGTATATACTATCATTAATAACGAACATTATCAGAGGGAAACTTGAGCTTTCGGTGTTTCCATCAGCAGATTAATAAATATTTTTTTGAAAGTAACAGTTCAGAGGGACTTAAGCCTGTTATCTCTGACCTGATATTTGAGCAAGTATGTGAGCCAATATAAGAAGGCAGGATTTGCAATACAATAACAGAAGAGTTTTACAAACTCACGGAAGGGATACCAGAAGAGACATTAGTGACCTTAAGATACGGGTATGGGTAGGTCATGTTTCATAATGATAGTTACATAAGAAGCAACAATTTTTTTTAGAATGATAATGGCATTACCAATCTTCTCGGTAGCCTAGCTGTTTCCCCAGGGTAAGAGGCAATCTACCTGTATTCATGGCTACGCATACGCGTAATTTAGCTGTACCCTTACACGGAAACGGTGTATCTCAACGTCTCTTTTGAAACAAGTTACATGACTTTGATTTTCTTTGTTGAAGACATGCATATTAAATAAATTTATATCAGAATTTGCAATCCAATATTGAAGTGTGTTTATGACAATTACCATTTACTTTTTAGGAACTTTTTCCACTAACAAACTACTTGGAGACGCAAAATGGCATCACCCCACAGATGCGCGGTATTTTGGTTGACTGGCTGGTGGAAGTCCAAGAGTGTTTTGAGTTATATCATGAAACCCTCTATCTTGGGGTTAAACTCCTTGATCATTTCCTGGAGAAACATTCTATTCAAAGAGATGAATTACAGCTTGTTGGTGCAACAACTTTGATCATCTCTTCCAAAATTGAGGTAATTAAGTTACAGTTAAGTTCGTTTGCCAACCTGAATTTCCCTGTCTTTTAATTCATACAGTCTGTGATAACAAATTTCCCATTGAAGAGAGAAAATCAATTATAATTTCTGGCCCTAAAAATTAAATTAACTACAGTAGGTTTTTCCATAGTTTAAAGCACATTTCTTGGCAAAATGTACTAGGTAATACTAGGGCTGAAGGGTATCTGAGTACAACTTAAGATGAAATCCATTAAGAAACTGAGTAATTTTGATTTTGAGTGCACAAATTAGGCTTGTACCAGAATAATTTCAAGCATGTTGCATTCTTTTTTACACTTTTTGAGGCCTATAAAATTAATGTAATCTGGTATGTGAAATAACTTCAAAGAAAAGGTTCTTATGGGAGCCCAAGAAAACAAACTGCAAAAGTGTTTCTCACAAAATGAAATCTTACGCATGATGATTTTCCTGTGTGTTTTTTTTCGATTCCCTTGAAATTTGAAATTTATTTTCTCGGGCTTCCATAAGGAATTTTTTTTGGTGTCATTACTGATACCTACGGGTGGAATTACACCTTTAGCCATTGAAAAGTGTAAAAAAGAATGCAATCTGGCCTAAAATATTCTGGTACAAGGTTTTTGTCCACCGAAAATTAAAATTACTCAATTTGCTGATGGATTCCATCTTAATTTATTTATTTTCTCTGATGTTCTGATTGTTTTTAGGAGCGGCACCCTCCTTGCATGGATGATTTTATTTACATCTGTGATGATGCATATCAACAACAACAGTTTATCGCCATGGAGAGCAGAATAATGCGAAGCTTAGGCTTTGATGTCAACATTCCCATCCCATACAGATTTCTAAGAAGATACGCAAAGGTAAGAGAATTTTTCACCATCCAAAAAAATATCTGCGATGCATTTATCACAATGAAAAGAATAAGATCTATTAAATGAATTTGTATAAAAGTTTCTGTGTAGTAGAGAAAGAACTGTTTACCAAAGCTTATTTACCAAATTTATTCAATTAACCGCCCAGGGCACTTACTAAATTTTTGGATCTTGAGAGTGGGCGCTTATTCGAGGTGGGCACTTTCACCATTTTCGTCAAGTGAAGTATGTTTATTTTGCAACCAAACAATAAATGCTAATAACAAAACGTGAAGAAGTAACAAAGCAAGGTTTCTGTAAAATACTCTGAAGAAAACTCCGTCCTCGGGGAAGTCTCTCATTAGAATTTATTCACTCAAGTGGGTGGGGTGGGGGTGAGTGCTTATTTGAGTTTGATTGGGAGTAGGAGGGGGTGGGCTCTTATTAACTTTTTCTACCTTTAGGACGGGTGCTTATTCGAGGTGGGCGCTAATTCGAGGTTGGGCGTTTATTCAAATAAATACGGTATACTAAAACATTGAATTTTCCATTACCAGGCGGCATTTGCAAGCATTGAAACACTAACACTGGCTCGCTTTCTTCTGGAGTCATCCCTGCTTGACAGTCGCTTCATCACTCACAAAGCTTCACACATGGCTGCATCATGCCTGTACCTTGCTCTGTTAATGAACAATAAATGCACTGAATGGACTCCTACACTAGTGCATTATACAGGGTACACAAAGGATGAGCTGCGAGAGTGCGTGCTGCAGTTAAATGCAATGAATGCCGCATCACCAAACAAGAACCTCATGACAGTGCGAAACAAGTACTCACATAAAGTGTTTCATGAAGTGGCAATGATCCCTGCCCTGGACACTCTGACCATTCAAATTTAGATTGCTTAGAATTTACTTTGTAAATATTTTGCTAAATAGTTTGAAATATTGCCTACCTCTTTACCATCTCCCCCTTAGGGGCCAACCATTTGACTTTTGATGGGGATATGGGTGATTTGCTTAAGAATTTTTTCCCAAACCTCTAGAGCCAAAATGTCTTTTCCCCAGACATATAACGATGTGATTTTTTTTTCAGTGCAGGAAATTTTTTCCCCCAGGTATTTCCTTGCAAGATTGTTTTTCCCCTCCAAATCAGTTAACAGGTTATTTTTTTCTGAAATCACCCATACCCCCTTCCCACCTCAAAAGTCAAACGGTTGGCCGCGGCTTAGGATAGCTGAAAGTTTCAAATGTTTTGGTGGAAGGAGGTACCACACCCTCGGGGGCTAGGTTCAGGAGGCAAATTATATTTTTAAAATAATCAAAGATTGATACTTTGTAAATAGCATATGATTTAAACTGATATTATATTTTAGTTAACAGGTAAAAAATACTTAGGAAGAAGAAATCAAAGTTTTATTGATTATAAAGTGTTAGAATTTCACCCTTTTCAGTCCATTTCAATAGTGTTTTTTTCCTTCAACTTTTCACTCCATATTATCCATTGTAAATATTATCTTTTCCGATTTTCTTGTTACTTCTGCTCATTTTTATTCAATAACACTAAAATAGTTTTAATTTGCCATGTTACGTTAGTTATTAAATATTTTCTCTCCTTATTTCTTTCGCTTGTTAAAGCACCCCAATATGAATAATCTAAGTTTTTAAAAATAACATGGTAGAAGTATTTAACTTTTACTTTTTGCTTCATTAATCATAAATTGCTGGGTATGAAAAACCTTGTAAATATCTTATTCTAGTAAAAAAATGTGTTTTAATCTACGGGCCGTTCTCTGAGAGTTCAAAATTCATAACGAAATCCTCCAAAAAGTTAACACGTAAGATTTAGAAGGTACAGTATTGGGAGCCGCCATCTTTTCGCAGTGTGGCCTCTGCACATGTCGTTAGTGTGTTTCGAGTGAAATTGAAATTCACAGAAACAAAAAACAACTTCAAAAATACTTATCATTTCATAAGAGGTATCTCCATTTTATAGATAGACACGTTTTCCAGCTTCAACAACCACCTTCGTTTTCCGAGCACTCCGAGGCTTTGCTCGAATGCCTCAAAACCCATCGTCGGACACCCATGTGCGGTCAGTCGGGCCGCCCCTGGGTCTCCGAGGATGCTCACAACCACGCCCTGGCCACGTGATTCGAACGACAAGATCGCAACTCTGTCAGCAACGCACCGTCACGGGATATGAAAGCCCCAAAGATGCATGAAAATATTACTTAAGTGTTACTCAGTACTAAAAACTAGCCCGTGTACAGACACCTAGCCTGCGAACCGCAGACGAATTTCCGGTCGTTAACAGACGCCCCCCTCACTATGCTGTTCTCCAGACGTAGTTAAGCGATAGAAATCGATATCAATCGGTTTAATCCGCCGATTGACATCGGAAATCGATAGTAATCGATAAACACCAGTAATCTTGCCGACGATGCTCTTTGGCAAGCAACATCCATGAATGAGATCGGCGTATTAAAGCTTATCACATTTTATTTTTGACTTCAGCGACTACTCCAGGCGCAGTCTTAATCGCATTATTTTTTTTGTTGTTGTTTCCTTGGTTCCCTGGTTTGTTTTTTAAAATAGATCTAGTTTACATGTCCATTTAATCCTGCGCCATCGACTGCATCTCGCATTTCTCCAGGGTTTACGTGTTTTGTTTCTACTCAATATTTATGGTACCAAGGCGATTACATTTGTTTTTCTGGATTATGTTTTATTTCTTGTTTATATCACGATTTATTCTTACGTTTCTTTCTTAGTGCGACTCATTGAAACCCTAAGAACACTGATTTCGTTGTTTATTATGAGCCGGCACATTTATGGAGTTTCTACAGCGACAGAAGGTTGTTTTCTGCCACTTTCGTAGCAATTTCTCTCCTTAATATTGTACCTTTTAGTCTTTTATCAATTAAAAAAAATCTGTTCCCCTGAAAATCACGACTGAATGATACCGTACGGACAACATCGTGCAATCTATAAATCATCATATCGATTTTCGATAGAATCGATATTTAAAATCGAAGTCAAAACCTTTTTCTTCACCGAGTTCCATCTATTGATATTCAATTTTTGGTTTATCGATTAACTACGTCTGGAGTTTTATTTGACCCGCAGATTGGCAAAGGTTGTCTTTTGAAGAAGAATATTTCGTTCTCTCGGAATCGCTTTCTGTTGAACTTTTATCTTTCCTTTTCGTGGTTCAAATTAGACTGTAAAACAGTCGGTTTTTTTTCTCAAAATCAGTAAAGAAATAGGTAAAGCGTGCAGTAAGAGTCTTACGCGCGCGAAGCGCGCAAGTCTCACACGCCCGTAGGGCTTGTGAGGCGAGAGACAAAAAAAACCGTCTCTCCCCAGGTCTCGCTCTCTGTTTTCAACCTCGTTCCAGGCCTTCTGTTTGACTGCTCGCGCGTACTTGAATACGCAAAAATACTGACTGTTTTGCAGTCTAGGTTCAAGTTAAATTAATCTACGTTTTTCTTATATTCAATGATCTTCATCAACTTTTAACTCTTTTACTAATTGCAAGAAGTTCGTCTCAAATCCTTTTACCACATCCCTGGGGTTTCGAATGACCCGCTCATCCGAGAAAACCCCAACACGAATGCCCCCGCCATAGCTAAATATCGAAAGTCCCACGCCAATATTCGCTCTTTGGGGCACCCAAAAAAGACTTTGCACAATTTTCTGGCCCCCGAGGTACAGGGCCTGTTGAGGACCAGGCACATTGCTGAGGACACAGGACACCTTTCGCGAAAAGAAGTCTATGAGAGGCCTGGAGAAACAGTCTGGTAACAACATCATTAACCGGACAGTGACTGCAGTCACTAGCGGCTCAGCGGATGTTTTGATAATATCCATGCGTTGCTTGGTTTCTAGGAGCCTGTCCACAGCGTTCTTGGCAGCGACTGGTAGCCGTAAAAACACGATCGCGAACTTGTTTTCCAGTTCGACGGACTTCGATGAGGTGCGGATATCTACGGGAATTGAAGCCCACATATCTTCGAGTGTCGCCGCAGTGTCATAGTTTTGTTTGTATTTCAGATAATCGTGTAAAGCTCCGGCCAGACACGAAACCATGACGTCATTGACGGTTGTTCCGGCGGTATTTTTAACTTTTTTCACTATTGACAGGTCAACATTCTTAGACCAAGCTACGACTTTCTTGCCGCACAGTTCTTGTCCGTGAATGTTCGAGAAGTCGGCTTTTGAAAAGAACTTTAACAAAAGTATAAAAGGACCCACAATTATAGCCTTACACCACATATAAAATCTCTGCCTTGAAGAGAACTTCTTCGGTTCCGGCGTTAATGGAGGCACATCGAATAGATTCTTTACAAAAACTCTTGTCAAAGCGACTCCATCTGCAACACTGTGATGAACACGCAGTACAAGTCCGAAACAATCTTCTTCTACAATCGGAACAATTATGAATTGCCATGGGGAAAGAGTGTCGGGCAAAGAAGTCGAGCAAATTTCAGAAATTGCAACATCTAGCTCTTCCAAGGACTTTGGAAGAGTACCCTCCCAAGTAAATACGTGTTTTAACACGTTAAATTTTTCATCTTCCATCCAAAAGAAACACCCTAAACGTTTATAAATTCGCTGGGTAAGTCTTGGGTAAATCCGTTTCCCATTTTCGTCTTTTCTGTAGACCAGACGATCAAGAATTATTTGTCGGAGTTTCTCAATGTCGGGTGCTCCTTCTAAAACCATCAAGGCGTGAATTATGTGGCGATTTGTTGGACGATCTTGCTGCCATACTGCGTCATCTTCACACAAAGGAACGCAACTTCGAGAGTACGATGTGTAACGCTTGACGACGAATCTCGCCGACTTCAAAATGGCTACCACAATGAGCAATACCGGAATTAAAAGACAAAATACGAAAAAAGTTACAGTACACCCAAGCCGGTAGATCAAAGCATGTGCTGTGAGAGGCATTGTAAACGCTTGAGGTTAAACAAGACTGCTGCTCTTGTTGGGTGATTTTCAGGCTAGCCCCTTCAGTCTAATATAGTGGCGGAAGACGGCGATTTTACTGACTTCTGCATTAATTTTAAACGGCAGTTAATGGCGATAAAGAAAGAAACTTTGGTGAAGCCAGAAGCTTATAATATCGCGTTTTCTCCTGGCCACAAAACAAATTGGCCGCGTGTGATAGGTTGTTGATCATGAGTAATGCAAAACAAAGTACATAATTCGGTAGGTGATATTAAATGGCTGAAAATTCATTGGTTCTGGTTAATGAGAGGTTATAAAAGGGCGCGTGAAGTTTTACTGCTTGCTCACGTGAAACCAAAAAAGCAACGCTTTGGTAGGTCATCTGACTTATTTCTAGTACGGAAACGAAACACTCAAATGTTCCATAATTAAGAAAAAAATGGCCAGAATATATCAACCGGACTGGACTGAATTTTAACTCCTTCGTTTATTTTTGAATAGTTTGAAAATGTAAAAATTTTAAATACATTTTATCAGCACCACCCGGTCATCGACATTTGTCGTGATCACAAAGTATAAAGTCGACTTTATGTTGTGGTCCACTGACTTTTATCCTTTGTTCAAAAATTATTTTCCTATATTTCAAATATCATGTGTTACCAAGCCGAAGGATAAAATCGCAAACGAGCCTCGATATTTAGCCTGTATCATATGTTATAGACTGACTTGATTTATTCTTGCTATTTATTTCTTTAAAGCGACTTCGTCAACGTAACGCAAAACCGATAGCAGTACGTAACCTTGAAGGACATCCTCAAAAAATGTTTGAACTGTTTCTGATCACAGCGTAGAAAAAAAGAAAGAAAAAACGTGTTCTTGCAAATTTCTTGATAAATTTTCATTCATTTTTGTCTGTACTTCCTTCAGTTGTTTCCTGCCCTTTTCCCCCGAAAATTACATTTCTCAAGTCTTAGCCGACGAGATTTTTTTTTCATGAACTGATCATAAATAAGTAATTTCATGTTGTTTTGGTTGTTATTATTATTTCGGGCAAAAATTATTTTAGAAATTAATAAATTGACTAGCGCTGATATATTCCATGCAAAAAATCATTGTAAACGACCACTTACAACGCTTGTTTTGACTATTTTATGCATTACACCATGTTATTTATTGCAGGTTTTTTACTCTCGTTATTCCATTTAATTATTTACATGGGTGTGCAAACACCAACTAGTTTTCGAGCGAGAAAGTTTTGTCGGTTGTAATTTCTTTCCTTTTCGCATGTGTCTCCTGAGCGAAATTCCGGTAAAAGTAACGAAGCCTTTACGACACCGAAAGATACGTTTAAGATGGAGACAGAGACCGTAAACCCAAAAAATTTATCGTGAGTCATCATGGTGAAATTCAACTTTTGATTGTAGAAACGTCATTAATGTCTGATGAGTATTTCTAGATCTAATAGTGTTTTTCGCACGCTCTGGTTGGCTACTCAATCAGTGAATATCCTGCACTATTCACTGATTCACCTCCAGTTCCTCCGAGCGACGCCAAACTCGCGTAAGTTGCGATCAAAATGCCTTCCCGGTTTGCTGCCGTAACAAAGGAAGAAATTTCATAACTAATCAAGTGAGCTGTTCCCGAAATACACGAAGAAGGTGACGAAGTTCGGTTTGGAAGTTTTAACAGGTAAAGCTTTGTCTTTTTGACTTCAAATATCGATAAAACCGGTGAAAAAGGTTTTTTGTTTACAAATGCAAATTAAGACGAAGTCTTGCGTTACTTTGTTTAGTTGACTTGTTCATAAATAAGCTTAAAACTAAATTTAATAATCTTTTTTATAGAATGATTTTAAATGCAAAAAGAATTCACAACTCCTTTTGAAGAAATTTCCCCGCAAGAGCTAAACAAATGCCAAGTTTTATTTGTCGGCATTGAAGAAAAAGTGACGACCGCGGCCGTCCGGTCATTGCGCGCCAAACTTGCAATCGTTGGCAACAGTAAATGAGTTAAAAATCATAATTTTTTGCGCAATCATCTCACTGTCTTAGTATATGCTTAAACAATTATTCACCTCAGTGTCGGTGGCTAGTGGTGGTATTTACCTCGCCGCTTCGCGGCCTCGGTAAATAGGGACCTTACGAAACCACGCCGGACGTCGACGGAAACGGGAACGTCAAAAAAGCAATAGGTTTAATGAGCAAAACAACAACTCTGCACGTGCATCACGCTTTTTTGTACATTTCTTCGCAGTTCCTATATAACTACGACATGAAATGACCAAATTTTAAGTTTACTTGGGAACGGGAACGGCAAGGCGGTAAATTCTACCATTTCTGCCTGAACTCGGGCGCGGGCACTTCTCTTCAGCTCCAACCCCAAATCCCTTCTTTTAAGTAGCTGGGCCCCTTAGAATAATCACGAAAAAAGTGAAAGAATCTAAAGTCTATTTTTCAGCGACGTTTTCATGGACGTCGCCGTTGTCGGATCGTAAGGTCCCTAATATTCACCACTAGCCACCTCCACTTCGGTGAATAATTGTTATTTATACGAGGAAAATAAGACGCGAACTTTGCGTATAAACGTCACATTTCGTCTAAAATAAGGCGCGACTTAGCGAAGAAGAGTCTTATTTTAGAACAGCCCTTAACACCTGTTCTTACATAAGACGCGTCTTAGCTATTAAAGACGAGAAAAACTTCGTATAGGGGACGGAACATTAGAAAACCTATGGGGGGGGGAGAGGCGGGCAAAGTACAAAAAATATTCGCACAAGGGAAAATTAAAAGAAAAAAATTCATGCACGCCAATTAACCCTAAAAAATATTTATTCTATGTCCTAAAAAAAATTCATACAAGGAATTTGATAACGACAAAAATTCCTGCGGCTCGAAAATTCCCCCCCTTCCACCCCCATAACTTTTCTAATGGTCCGTCCCTAAACTTACATAAGACGCGAACGGATATTACGCATGCGTTAACTTTTGGCGGGAAATTTTTCGCTTGCCCTGCGGCGTACTGGCAGGACTTTCAGGCTGACTGGCAAAGAAAAGGTGTTTACAAATTACAACGCGTTTTCGTTTCCTTGGCTTGTATCCTAAGATTTTTAAGCTTTATTCCAGCAACAAATTCCCCCTCCGGCATACCTTTGAAGTCACGCTTAAACCACTCCGTATGTTAGTATTTTTTCCTGCCTCCTTCCGTCGTGTACAATTTTGAGGGTCGTGAAGGGGTAAAATGGGAACTGGTATTAGCCTTATTGTGGACTGGGAAAATGGGATTTACTCACTGGGACTGGGATTTAGCCACTGGGAATGGGATGAACAATTATAAAATGGGAATGGGATTTCTTTTCTTCAGCGGTCTTTGCTCCCATATTTTGAAATAGAAAAATAAAATTTCGTAGCAATAGACCTTGCACTCCTCAATAGAGACCGTGAAATCAGTATTTTTCGCCTTCGCGCCCGCGGTCTAGCTACCAGGCTTACACAGTTGCATAGTTACGTTCTGTCAGTTTTCCTGGTCAGCGGACAAGTTCTGCAAGTTTGCATATGGCGGGAAGATATTGCGAAGGGAAGATAAAAATGGCTTCGGAAAACGTTTCTCGCAAAATGGTACTAGAAATCAAGTACGTCAATGCAAATAACGCCGTTATACACACCGAAAATTTGGTAACTGGGATTTTGGCAAAAATTAGCCTGGGAACTGGGATTTGGGCCAAATTTAGGCTTGGGAACTGGGATTTGGTACCCCCCTTCACGACCCTCAATTTTATATCCAACTCTTATGATCTCTGCGCTGTCTTTTGGCAGTTTAATTAATAATCACAAAAGCAGTAAAATCAATAAAGATATTAATAAATAAACCGTTAAATAATAAATAAATTAATATTATACATATTATACATATTATTCCAGTATCAATTCATTCACAGTCTGAATCATGTTGACTCAGATTGCTATATTTTCTATCTGAGGACCACGACTGCTTTTCCCCCGAGCTGAACACTGTGTAAAATATAGCTCCTAGTAGATAAATTACTCCATTGATTATGAAAACTATCTTCCACTCTAAGTCCGTCTGTTGGAATAAAAAAATGACGCAAAACATCATATTTCTAATATTTGAATCAGAGTTTGGACCAAATTTTTCCACGCGATAGCCCTTATTCCCCCCCCCCCCCTTCCCCCTCGGGGAAGGTGTGTGCAAAGGATTTGCTTAAGGAAAAAAAACCGGCCAAACAAATTAAAAGATGGGTTATAACTAATGCCATAGAAAATTTTTGTCGTTACTTTGCGTGAAGGGTAGTTTCCCCTGTTAAATTTAACATTTTAATCACCTCTTCTGCCCTTCGTTTGAACACATTTAAATTTTGGCAAAACTCTCACTTTCAAAACGAGGAAAACCTTTGTTTATTGCAGGAGGATAAAAAATAATTTTTACTTCAATGGCTTTTTGCAAGATGTTTGCACTTAGCCTTGCTCTGTAACTGAGGCTTGAGACAGCTCGGAAATGGCCTATTACCCCGCGATATATTCAACCAATCGCAAACGGGGCTCCAGGCTCCACTCAAGTATAAGGTGCGATTTTTTCACAAAACTCACACCAACAATGGTTGAAGCCGATAAAATGTACGGTGGGCCACTTTTTTCCTATTTAAAATAAAAATATTCGTTTTTAAAATGATCAGAAATTGACTACTTATTTTTGGATCTATGAATACCACCACTGACTGGACCGGAAGTTATCCTCGCGTTTGACGTCTGATAGTTTCTTGACCTTTTCTGCTGATTTCTGAGATTGTTTCAAGTTCGATTGCATATATACCCAGATATTTTCCTGTTGTATTTGTTTGAACTGAAATCGTCATCGCGGAATGTTACCTCGCGCGGCATTGCCTAGTAAACCGGTCCAGGCACTGATTGTACGAGAGCAGCTGTGGAGTTTCGACCCTTGTCACTATTCACAGTTACCGCTAATTCAATTTGTTAATAAATTAGTAACCAACCGTGAAACGCGAGACACACCGCATAAAATAAAGCATTGTGAAATATGCTGGGTCAAAGCGCCGATACGCGCTCGAACATCGTTTTTGCGTCGTAGAATATCTTCCATCTCACATTGCTCCGCAGCAGATTCGAGAACAGAACAGGTAAGTTTTTACCTTTCATGTTTTCCTATTTGCAGTTTACAAAAAGAGTGTGGATTCCCTATGTGTTGTTGTTGATTTTCTGGAGATGAAATGCTTAGTTTGTGCTTGGCATTGACAAACAGGCTGAGGGGGGTGGGGGGCGGTTGTTGAGTGTCATAGAATAGTAATGGACCATTTTAGGTCTACACTTAATTCCATCCGCCAAACTGACGTTGACACATTAATGATTCGTACACAAAGTAGGGTTAGGGTTAGGGTTAGGGTTAAGATTAGGGTTAGGGTTAGGGTTAAGGTTAGAGTTAGGGTTAGGTTTATATATTTAAATCAAACTGGCATTTGACACCAAATCCTCGGTGGTGTAGGGGTTAGACTGATGAAATCCAGATCGGATGCTCCGAGGTCGAATCCTACTCACTCTATCCTGAATTGTTTTTTTCCTTAAAAATTGAAGACACTTTGACTTTTATGAACATTTCATCAAGAAATTTCATATAAGAAAAGTGAAATGTCTTGTGAGAGGAGGATGTCAGTTTGGTGGATGGAATCAAGTGACGACCACCATTTTACAGTTATGAGCTTAGTACCCTCGCCTCTGAGTGAAAGTGAGGCTGAGATTGACCTTGATTTGGTACCAACCTCTTTCCTATTCTTATGAACATCATGCTAAAAAATACTAGTTAGCATAAGAACAACATGATTTACATAATAAAGGAGGAATTAGGGTTGTTACCAAAACAAGGTCAACTTTAACCTCTTTGCACCCGTAACTGTAAAATAAACAATTTCAGAAATAAAACTTACGTGATGTCTGACTATGAATCCCGTCAGGGTTGGTGTTATAATTCCTGCCAATGTTGCACCAACATCGGTTATTCCAAGGAGTATACTGGCAAAGGGTGGTGCGATGTCGAGATGATTAACAGCGAATCCACTCAGGCACAATCCGTTGAGCCCCACCCCTAGAGTGATTGAAGCCACAACGACGCTTGAATTGTTTGTGGAACTTGCTACAAGGAGACAGACAGCTGGCGAGAGAAAACCTAACAAAAGATAAGGACAGACTATGAGAAGAGTATGATTTAACACAAAATGACTGGCCCTAAGGGAAACCTGATTGGGAAACCTGATTGGGAAACAGTTAATTTTGTTTCCCGAGAATCCCAATTTCTCCCGAGGTGGTGATTTGTTATACAGCTGGAAACTCATTAAACCTCTCTGCAACGGCGGCTAACAGTGCACTGTTACCCGTTTATTTGACGTTATAGATTTATAGATTTTGCAGGGTTGCCAGCTTAGAGATTTTGGCGGGAAACAGTTTCATTGTTAGATGTCAAGTGACTTCGAATTAACCAATGAGAGCAAGCGCTTTTGCGCTATAACAGTGCCAATTATCAGCACTGAAGCACACGTACCAACTCCTCGGTTTACTCCGCGGTATGGCCAGTACCTTACGCATGCGCACAACCATTTGTGTACTTGTCAAATGTATCATTACAATTTTATTCATAGTTAAAGTTAAAAGAGCGGAATGGTTATGAAAATTGTCAGACAAGGCTTTGATAGACCGTGCTCGCAAAAGTAGCACTGAATATGCTACTAGCAGTGCTCGTATATTTCTAAAATTATGCCAATAATAATGCTAGTTTTTGTAAGTTATGCTTTTTCTATTTATTTTAAAACACCTCAACCTCCACAAAGAAGTAAATGACAAACATATTTCCCGTATTACATCTAGAAACTTTACGAGTGTATAGTTTGAAAAACAGGAAACGATTTTAAAAAAGGTTGATAATGCAACTTGTTACCCTATAGCAAATACTAATTGTTTGTTGTTCTTCTTTAAAAGATTAATTTTGTTCCAGTTTTTATGTTATCATGGGTGCAAGTCAGGAGACCGATATTCTAGTCAGATTTCTTTTCCGATTTCATGTCCGATGTTTTTTCCCGATTTATTTTCCGATATCGTAATCCGATTTCTTGTCCGATTTTATGTCCGATGTTTTTTCCTGATTTCTTGTCCCATTATATGTCCAATTTCTTCTTCGATTTCTTGTCTGATTTTTTCTTCGATTTTTTGTCCGATTTCTTGTCCAATTTTTTGTCCAATTTTTTCCAATTTTTTGTCCGATTTTTATTTTCTTATATTTCTCGTCAAAATTTTTGTCCGATTTTTTGTCCGACCTTTTTGTCCAATTTTGTGTCTCATTTTGTGTCTGAATTTTTGTCCGATCTTTTTGTCCAATTTCTTCTTCGTTTTCTTGTCCGATTATTTGTTCAATTTTTTGTCCGATTTCTTGTCCGCTTTTTTGTCCAATTTTTTTTCCAATTTTTCTGTCGGATTTTTTTGCCCGACTTTGTTCCGATTTTTTCGTCCTACTTTTTTTGTCCGATTTTTTTGTCCGACCTTTTTGTCCGACGTTTTCTTCGCCTTTTTTTCCTAAATTTTGTCCGACTTTTTTGTCCGACTTTTTTGTCCGACTTTTTTGTCCGATTTTTTTGTCCGACTTTTTTGTCCGACCTTTTTGTCCGACTTTTTTGTCCGATTTTTTGTCCGATTTTTTTGTCCGACCTTTTTGTCCGATTTTGGTTTGCTTTTTTGTCCGATTTTTTGTCTGATTTTTTTGTCCTATTTGATGCCCGATTTGATGTCTGATTTTATGCCCGATTTTATATCTATTTTTATGTCTGATGTCCGATTTTGACGTTTGATCTCCGATTGTCAAGTCAAATTGTTAATTTGATTTTCATGTCCGATTTGATGTTGATTTCCGATTTCAATGATGGGAGTGATTGCAGAATACCCGGCCCCCTAAATTTCTTACTTGACAAACTGCCCCTGTAATCCCGCAGTCGTGTTCTATTATAAAGATTACTTCAATCTGAGTAAATATAAGTAGGAATGCTCCTGCAGTTCCGCGCTTCCGCAGCTGCTGAAAAGTGAATACACAATGTATAAGGGGGTATACAACTAGTCCTCCCGCGGTCTACGAATGCGGTATTGCGCGAGCAGTTTTTTAGGTTAGAGAGTTATTGGGCAGGGTATTCTGCAATTTTATAACTATGGTTTATTGTTATATAGCTGGAAATTTTTTCCCAACAACGCGTTCTCATTGGTTACTTCGAGGTCACATGACATCAAACAATCAAACTGATTCACGCCAAAATCTCTGAGCGGGCAGCATTGCAAAATCTATGACGTCAGAGGATAACGGTGCACTATTACCCTCGAATGTTCACGACCGCTTTTACAGCGAGGTTTAATGAATTTTTCAGCTTCAAAATTTCTAGCTGTATAACAAATCACTTTAAGACTGGTCCCTCAGGAAACAGTTAATTTTGTTTCCAGAGAATCTCAGTGTTTCCCGAGGCTAAACATTGAGATTCGAGGGAAACAAAATTAACTGTTTCCCGAGGGACCCGTCATCAAGTGTTTAATATATACCATTGATAAATAAGGAAAACATGACAGGATTACCTATTGTGTTGAACATTTTCCTCACAGCTCCTGTACTGAGATAATGTTTGCGTAAATAGTCCGCCAGCTGTGATCCGCTTATCATTACAAAGAACGTAACGACGTAAGGTATAGACGATGCAAGCGACGTCTGAAGAGAGAAATACAGTTATAAAGATAAATAACTAATCGGTTCAATCACGTCACTTCAACGGTTTTATAGGCAAATCCGATCCTGAATTAACCTTTCACCAAAGGTTCTTAAAGAGGGTCCAGATTAGACTCCCACGAATACCTTCTAAAAGCTTCGCCACGGGGATGACCCAAAAGAACGTCGTCGTCGTGGGAGGCAACGTCAGCGAAAGTGACGTAACCAAAAGTGGCACCGCTTACAGGATGGACTATCCCCCTTGTCTCGACCATGGTTCCATTTCCGAATCTCGCTCCCGTTAAAACAAACAAATAGACAAATTAACCCCAGATCCCAAAATTTCTGAAGGGATACTCAAAGCAACATACCTCATTGAGATCCAAATTTAAGCGTTGCGTGTAAAACATGGGCAGCTCTGATAACATGGTATATAGTCCCCATCCTTGTGTGAAATGAGCCACCACTATGGCCCACAAAGGAAGTGAGCTGAAGATTGCTTTCCATGGAATAGAAGTACGCTGAGGATGTTCATAAACAAAGGTTAAACATACAACAGTCAAAAAGAAAACAGTTCCCTTAAAATCGTGTAACTAGGTAACTACGTCCCCAATGCTTTTTATATTAGAAAATGAGAGAGACTTGGGGACTAGGTTGCATGATAGGTTTTGAGGAACCACTAAAATGCTTCTCTGTACGTGTAACTTACTCAACAAAAGATCATTGGTGACTAATAAGTTTTCTTTAAAATATATTCATCCTTTCTCGTAGTACCTTGTTTCCTATCAATCCGAATTTATTTGCAGTTATTTCAATCAACCCTTGCATAAAAATTCTTGAGAAAATGACACGCTTTGGATGCAAATGGTTTCAGTAATGCACTAACTTAAACAATTTTACGCAAGCAAGAAATGATTCTGATACCGTGGCGAAAGTAACCGTTATGAGACGCGGAAACTATATTGATTCGGGAGGGGCAGTAATCTGCATGTGAAAAGCTCATCAGTTCTATCCAAGATCGTAGTATCATTAGTTTCTTGGAGTATTGTAATAACCATATTTAAAACTCTGGGTCTTAAAACTGTCGATGTTTCTTTTCTAAGTCAATCATACCTTATCTTGAATGTCCGCTGCTAAGCTCAGTTCAATATATTCTACTTCTTCTGAAGCAATCCACCTTTGCTGGGAAGGTGAATTTCCTACCACTGAAAGCCAAATCAGGGACCATATAACACCACTGGTACCTGATACCAGAAAAAAGAAAAGGGCCGTCAGGAGCCCGTAAAGCTTACCCTAAATTGACCCTGAGCTTAAACCCTGAGCCCTCTGTCTCAACCTCGTTCCCAGGGCTTTTTCCTTGTTGTCCACTGTCTGCGTGGGTTGTTCAAAACACACGAGTCCAGAGTACATCTTATTTAACCTGAGTTTTGGCATTGTCCCCACTACTTTTGGTAGCACCAAAAATGCTTCGCATTGTTAGTTTGCAGAGCCAGGATTATTCATGGGATGTTTGTAATAATATTGATGCAAAGCAGCAACATAAGTAAAATGGTTTCCAGGCGGCCTCAAAGTGACTGCAGGCCCCTGTAAGTTACGTTTATACGTACCAAACACATAAAATATTGACCGCCATCCATAATGAAATGCAAGATATCCTGAACAAAACATGGAGACGATCGTTCCTAATGTTGCTCCTATATAAGCAAAATATACAAGGAATTGTTGGTCATTAATACAAAACTTAAAAAGCGTACTTGATAGTTTTGCACACGCAAAATGTCTTACTTTTTTTTTCAGACTTACCTAAAAAAGTTAGCACAGTCTTCTCTCTCTCTCTCTCTCTCTCCCTCTCTCTAGAGGAAAAGTAGGGCACTTTTGTTACTTCTTTCCCTTTTGATGATAGCATCGTCAATTTAAAGTGGTAACTCGTGAAACTTAAACTATACACAGTTCACTTAAAGTAACATACGCATGTAAAAAGACAAATTCGAGCGTTAAAACAGAAGAGAAAAAGCTGCAAAGATGTCACAAAAAGGTTACAAAAGGGCCCTACATCGTGGTAGGTGCTTTTTAAAATGCTTTTCACACCTTTTTTGCATTTAATTGTAGCTATTACTTTACCATTTATACTCCATACGATTCCCTCGCTGGCCACAACACTTTAAACTGGAGATATCGAGGCCGGGAAAAAAACGCCGTGAACATGTTTGACTTTTCATGTCCATGAAAGGAATCACGATTCGGAAAAAGCCCATTTTTGAAATGGAAAGTTTCAAAACGTCAGTGTGACCTTTTGAACCAATCAGCATCCGCAAAATTGTGGTGGAAGTTTAGTTAAGTCTATTGTTAATCTAATAAGCGAAACACAAAGTGAAATGGTCGTTTCCTTATTTTTTGGTGATTTTTTTAAAGTTACTGATATCTCGAAAGTGGCCCCGTTACGAAAGTTCCCTTTTTGCTAGAAGTTCCAGCAAGCAATTTTACCGTAATTTGTAAGAGATAAAAATCAAAAAAAGCAATCAATCTAAACACCACTAAAGTAGAAGTAAGTGGGCGAAAATACAGGTCCTTCCTTTAAAAAGTAAGGCGCTGGGCCAGTGGAAAGGTGTTCTAACCCCTTTTACGCATTTTGCGCTATTGGGTATACGGGTATATTGTTTGCGCAATTACAAGTAAATGCGTGATTCCTTTCCATCGATGAATTATGAAGTTGTTAAGCATGATGGAAATAATTTTAATCAAGAAAAAAATCATGTGTGGTCACTGGTGTCAAACATGCATAATGGAAAGTTATTCAATTTCAGCGCTTCTCTAAAGGCCCCGCCTTTATTGCGTAGTCAAATAGACTACAGGTTAAGGATCATTAAGGCTAGGCTCCAGAACCATTTGAGCTTCTACTTTAAGCCGCATGAATCTATCAAACGGGACAACGGTGGACAACGAGTTCTTTTATTTCAACGCAGAACACGGCATTGAGGGCACAGCGATAATCAAGACAAAGTAGTACACAGCATTCCCGTAAGTCTTCATCGTCGTTGACAATGTTCATCATGGCCTATTCCGTTCATCTCGCAGATGGTCTCACTTACCAAAAATCTCTTTGTTTTTCTTAACTCTGCTTTGTAGAGAAATTTTCAAAATGAAATTTAATGTAGGTGAGAACAGACGAATTTCCAGATCGGCTTCGCTTTAGACAAGAAGGGGGTTGGTTCCAAAATGCTAACCAATTCTTAATGGAAGGTATGACTAAACGATAGTTGCAGTGAATAAGCCTTTAGACTTCTTACTTATGATGAAATATTATTGAGTATGCGACACGGCTTAGTCGATCGCAGAGCTAAATTTTACCACTCATATTTGCCTTTTCCAACAAAAAGCGACGGCAGTAACGGATCACGCACAGTGAAGAAAATTGAGCATGAGGGTTTATCAGTACTCTGTACGTCAGGTAAGGGTGAGTCACTTTTTTATAGGTTTTCTTTTGGTAAAAACAAGTACCATTTCAATGATCAACTAAAATTTCTAGAGAGGACAACACTTATTTTCTTCTCTCCACATTGGCACGCGGCTGCTGACACTAAAATAGGCAAAATGGTAGATTCGAATTCATTACAATGTTTAATTTCAGCTGTGTAACAACAACAAAGGCTAATAAAACTTTACAACGAGAACACCCGTTGGTAAAGATTACGAGTACAAATATGGTAGATGCATATGCAACATCGCACGCCCCTTGGATTTTTGCTGTTGTAAAGTATAAAAATAACAACCAAATGCGCGGAACATCACATCATCATCATCATCACTATCACATCACTTTTTATTGGGATCAGAGTAGAAAGCACTGCGAGTGGAAAATCAAATAGACGGTAGCGAAAATAAATCTCCGCCGCCTTGATTATGAATTAAAGTTATTCACTCCTCAAACTGACCTGTGTAGAACTGATTTGCCTAGTGTGAAAATGGATCATGGGATACATACAGCAATGTAGGCTATGCAGTGTGCTCACAGTCAGACAGCGGTGTCTACCAATTCGCACAGCTTCGTCGATCAACACGTGCTTTTTGCATCGCCGATCTTACAGTCTGATTAGTTCCGTAATAAATTTAAAGTACGTCCAGTGACGATTTTTTAAGGTAAGTTTGGTTTAATTTGTTTTTCACTCCCATAAAATGTAAAGACGATATCTGCACATCACAAAATGGCATCAACGCCTGTGAGCATATTATTGTATTAAAGACATGCTTTACATGTACGCATACAACGGGAGAGATTTAAAAGAAAGCATGTTTCAGGGCATGTGTCAAGACAAAATCATTCCTACTGAAAGACTTTAAATGCTGCAGCAATTTAACTGCTTGAAATAGTGCTGAGTAAGAAAGAATGTTGTTTAATTTTTACTTCTTAATTCATTTTAGACCAAATAACTTACTGCATAGTAATCAGCATAAGCTTATACCTATGTCCATCACCTGGTATAACAAGAGGATGAAGCCACTTAAGGTAAATAATTGATCAGATTGTAAACAGGAAAAAAAAAATACAAAAAAAGATCAGTGAAGGGTTTGATATAGAATATTTTAGTCAGAGCAACTTTACCTTCCAATTCAAAACATTCACTTATGACAAAATATCAGCTTACTGTATACAATCTTCTACTGAAATTGTGAGTCCCCCTTCGGAGCAGGAAACGTTACAACAACGTGTCCAGAGATCACTGGAAGAGGACGCAAACAGTGACATAATTCCACCAACAGTAACAAGCAGCGTAAAGAATATGTTTTCCTCTTCTGACAAGGAAAACATACAGGAAGTTTTTCGTGACATGATTGAGAAAAATGCCCCAATATGTAAAACCAGAATTAAGGAGCTTCTTCAAAAGGAAAGTTGGGGTAGAAGTATCTTAAAGAAAGCCTCCTTAGACACTGTACTTAATCGAGTAAAATATGAAAGACGTCTTTACAAAAATTCAAAAAACGTCTAAAGTTAATTGACAGTATGATTGTCCATAATTCAGTGGAAATGAACACATCAAATGAACATCTCTCCTAAAACATATTCTTATAGGATAAAAAAGAGTGTAAAGGAGAATGTTAATTTAGGAGAAGTCTTGAATTTGGGTTTTTTGTAGACTTATATTAGTCTTTGTTATTGTTACACTTAATCTAGTCTGATCCTATTAATGGGAAATGCTCATGTGAAGCCTTGAACTTTTATTAGCCTTTGTTGTTACACAGGTGAAATTAAACAATGACATTACGATGAATTCGCCCAAATCTATCATCAGCCTATTTTCAAGTGTACAGAACGACATCACAATATAAGCTTTTCAAGCTTCGCGCGCTCTAAGTCAAGTCATTGTTTATTATATAAAGACAGTAGTCGCCACACTAAGGTCAGTAAATAATTATCAGCCATTTGGGAATTTCGTTTTCCAAGTGAACCCAACCCATGTTTCAAATTCCGCAAAAATGGCGATATATTTACTGTATACCCAGGTTTGGTGGGCGGAAAGAAGAAGGATGCCGGAATTTTCACATTGTTAGTGAAAGAAAGGTAAAAAACCGACTACTCTGGAGTAAGAAGGGAGAAGTTAGAGCTAACTTTTTTTTCGAACGGGCCGGCGTTGCGCCCCATACAGTTCCATGTAACATATTCTACCCCTGATCCTAGTTTTTAAAGTAACTTCTTTTTTGAACTGGCCGGCGGCGCGCCCCATACAGTTCCATGTACGATATTCTACTCGTACTAGCTTGAACTTAATTTTAAAATGACAACTTTTATTTAACTTGCATGTCGTAAGAAAGGCTATTAACTTTCGTAGGACGGCGCACCGGCGGACATTTCAAAGGCGACTCAAACATATTGCCAGAAGAATGTATCAATGTAAGGCTACATAAGGCTATATAGAAAGCCAGCCTTTTTAGACTATAAAAACATCAATTGAAAAAAGTCGAAAAATTGACATTTTCCCAAAGAGATTAGTCCATGGTTTTGGTAAAAATTATGAATTTCTTCTTCTTTTCTTTTTAGGCCAAATATGCTAAGAAAAAGTGTTTCGTATTGTTCTAGATAGAAAACCAGTCTTTTTAGACTATAGAAACATCCCTTTAAAAAAGTTGAAAAATTGACGGTTTTCCAAAGGGGTTAGTCCATCGTTTTGGTCAAAGTTTTGAAATTTCTTCGTCTTTCTTAAGGCGAAATAGGCTAAGAAAAGGTGTTTCGTATCGCTCTAAATAGAAAACCAGCCTTTTTAGATTATAAAAACATCAAGATGTTCGGATATGTACGGCCATGCACGGCTATGCACGGCTATGTACGGCTATGCACGGCTACGTCAGCCATGTACGGTCATGCACGGCCATGTACGGCTATGTACGGCCACGCAAAGGCTATATAGGGCTATGCACGACTATATACAACAATTTACAGCTATGCACGGCCATGCACGACTATGCACGGTTATGTACGTCTATGTATGGATATGCACGGCTATGAACGCGGCTACGTACGGCCATGAACGGCCATGTACGGCCATGTACGGCTATGTTCGGCGCGCCTCATATTGCCCCTTCCTGTTACATGTAACATATTCTACTTGTGATTACTAGCTTGAACTTCATTTTACACAGGTAAAATAAATCAATCACGTCACGATAAATCAGTATCTATCATTATGCCCATTTTTTTAAAGTGCACGAACCGAGAGCGCAATATTAGCATTTTAGCTTGCTAAGCTAAACTCAGCAAAAGAAAAAAAAACACAGGCACACAGTCACACGTCTAATTCTTTTTTTTTTAGCCATTTGGCAATTTTGATTTCAAAGTGAACGCATGCAACGGCATGTTTTCATTTTCAGTTTGCAAAAATCATAATACATTCTTATTGTATATCCAGGTGATAATATTTACTTTATTCTTGGCACATAGTGAGGGAATGACGAAAAAAAGATGATTTGAATGAATAGAAATGGGTGTTACCAAAGTTCCTCATTTTGTTACAAAAGTGCCTGATCTGTTACGAAAGTGCCCGATTTGTTACGAAAGTGCCCTACTGCCTGTTACGAAAGTGCCCTATCAGAGTTACAATAGTTCCCTACCGTTACAAAAGTTCCCTTCTTCGTTACTAAAGTGCCCGAGGTGTGTTACAAAAGTTCCCTTTTTACGTTGCAAAAGTGCCCAATCCTCTGGCTCCCTCCCTCTCTCTCTCCCTCTCTCTAGGACAGATACTTCAGGGAGTGTTACTATTAGTGAAAATGTGTCCCAGTTGTTGATAGGGAGTCTCAGAAAATGACCGAATTAAAAAGCAGCAGAGAATAGCTGTTGGTGTCCGATTTAGGGAGGACGTCTCGCCCCATGTAAGGGGAATCTTGATTCCGGAATCAGGGAAAATTGTTCTTGTGGAATCCGAAATCCTAGGCTTTGGTACACGAGTCAAGGAATCCGGATTCCCCTTGACGATTGGAATCCAGAATCCAAGTTCTACTGACAACGAATGGAATGTAGTACCTGGAATCTGGAATCCACGGCGTGGAATCCAGAATCCAAGACATTCTTGGATTCCTTACATGGAATGAGACTTATAGAGGTGCTCATGAGAGACGGAGAGTTGACCACATTGTTAAGGCTCTGTTAATATGCATCAAAAGAGTTCTGTCTATTACTGTTCGTGATATTTTAGTAAGTGCAGGCATTATTTTTCGTTTTATAATTCGTCTTTTTGTCCTAATTCTTATTCTTATACCTTCAAGGTTCATAAAGAATATTGGCAAACAACAAATCTTCTCAATTTTGTTAGGAAAAATTACCTGCAAAACTGAAAACTCCGAGTTTACTTCTCTCTAAGGGAGGTGCCCATAGACTCCAGAAGGAGTGACCGGCTGGAAATGCAGAGCCCTGAAAGTGAACATTACAGCAAATGCTTTCACTTTCGATAAAAACTAGAATTTGTGTCGCGGAACTTGGTCTTAAATGGTTTAAAATAATTCATATTATGGTCAAATAACCTATGAAGTGACAAGTAAAAGCAAATTCAAGCTTGCGAATCTGAGGGAAAGCGGCAAGTACGTTCATTGCCGCGCGCCCGAAATCAGCAAGTTTCAATACGAATCGTGATTCAACCTCCATAAGCCATCCTTGCGCGATGCGAATGTCAACAAATTTTTAAACCTCTCTACGCTCGGGCCTTTGGCCCTGGCCTCAATAGGAAACATTACACATTCAACTTTAAGACAAGCTCCTGTCTGCTGCCAGTATACCTGCAATATATTATCTTATCTAAAACTGAGAAACAGAAAAGGAAGGTGTCAATCATCGGGTGATTCCCTTTATACCGGACACTGTAGAGATATCGAGTTATTGTCTTCGTTATCGAGAGTCCTAAAAGAGGGGACTTATTTCAGTCAAAAGTCTGTAATATATTTTTGGCCTAGGATTTAGATCCTGTCTGTATTTTTGGAGTGTCCGCAAGGATAAAGTTGGCTGTATAATTAATCTTGAATAATAAAACCCAAGTATCCTACAACCGTAACAAATGGTAAACAGCTCAGTGCGGTGTACTTTTGAGTTATAGTTGCACGCGGAAGGTTGCTAAGCACGAAAGAAGCGTAAGAGTAGCACGAGGCGATGACGTTAACGCTTTCGTTAACGGTGTTTGTGAACTTTCTCTCAATATCAAGACAAAAATCTCTGCAAACATAGAGGTTAAAAAACTATATAGTCGCTTAGAAAGTGACGCGTACAGCTTTGAGCGCGGGCTAGCAATCGTCACCTTTCACCCATGGTCAAAATAGTTAATGGGAAATTGACCAATCAGACCAATCATGTTATAATTAAATATAACAAATACAAAGAACTCTCTTTTTACCTCAGCCAGCCCTACAGCTACCCTCAGGGCAATCAAAAGTCCAACATGTATCCGGGCAGCTAGAGGGGTAAAAAGGGTCAAGGCGCCTGTGCCACCCACAGACAACCCAATAACCATGGCGCCTCCAAATTTTCGCGCCAAATATCCTCCTGGTATGTGCATTACTATGTAGCCAAAATAGAAAGAGCTCAGCACGATTCCTAGAGGAATAAAGAAAAGTAAAATCCCATGTACATATTAAAACAATGTTTACAGATCAAACCGCCCTTTTCCTGAGAGATATCAGAACGACAGAGAGGAGTTAAGAGGGATAAACAAGTTACGACGATCTCACCTTGCAGCTTGGTGCTCCATGAAAACTCCGCAGTTTTCTAGTGATAAGTAAAAGAAGACATAGCAAGCTTTTTTGGTTACGCAGAAAGGGTTTTCACTGAACTAAGCCGATTGATTGTTTAAAAGGTTACACCGTCACGGAATTTTAAGATTTGTCTCTACAGAGGAATTCAGGCCTCAGAAGAAATGAGAACATCATTCTTCCAAGAACAGAAACAAATTTTATCAGGAACTCCATACGCTTTAGAGGAGCAATCGCATGGAACACTTTAACGAACAAGGAAACAAGGGCCAAAACCTTGACGGAATTTAAACGCCGTCTTGTAAAATTTGATAGTGATAAAATGAATTTCGAACCTAACTTAACTACAACTAAAAATAGAGATAACGGTTACGAATACTTTTAACAGTTTTAATTTTCAATTGTACTTTTTCACAACCTATTTTAGATACAACTAACAACTGAAAAATCGGTTACAAAAATTTTTAACAGTTTTTAATTTATAATCGTACATTTGCTTTCAGTGCTCCTTATTTTTCTTGTTATTGTTGTATGCACGACCCCACCAGCAATGCTGATCTTTTATCTTGCTATAAAAATAAAGTTCTTACCTACTGATAAATGCGACACCAAAGGTACTAAATATGGGAGACTACATGCTTTTCGTATCTCCTGATTGAAATGCTATTTACTTCTTTACTGTTTTCTTAGCGCAAATGATAATTCAAAAGAATTGCCAATGAACCTAGTTCAGACTTTTTGAATCCTTGGAATTATAACATAGCACTCTCGATTACCCCCCACCCCTCCCCCCACTACTTCTTTAGGACCCAGCACATTTACGAAGGTGTCCTAAGGCGTGATACTTAACGAGTATTGTCTAAAAATATGCTATGCCTTATGCTAGCGGCCAGGAGCGATTTGCAAAAGGGTAATTCGCGCGTTTTGATCAGATTATTACACGTTTCCTAATAAATATGGCATTTGCAGATTATTTACTGGAAAATGCAATTTGGTGTTTTCCTGGAGTGGGGTATTTGCACACTTTTTTAAGCCTCACCGTGGTTTTTTGTACGATCCGCCCGGCTATAACGTAAGGCATTTTCAGCTTTTCAAAAAAAAAAATGGCACTGAAATGCTCGACAAATGCCGGGGAGGTTGGCACACTTGGAATTGACTGAACCATAAATCCCCGTGCAAACGGAAGCAGCATTGTTGGGAATTGTTGCGTCCGTGCACGTAGCTAAAAGTTTTAAACTTTGCGCAACAACTCCCAACAACACCAAACAACGTGCAACAGGATGTGCAAACGGACGCAACATGTAACATCCAACAATGTTAGGAGTTTTTGCCCAACAATCTTGCGCTGTCTGAATGTGCATGACCCATTTTCGTCTCACTTGCGTTTCCTTAGACGGACTAAGAGCCATTGAGGAAATAGATAGACTGCTTGTAGTATCTCTTCGGCACCGCCGGATAGTTTGTCTTTAGTTCCCTGGTTTTCTCAACTTTAAGGGCATTTTCCCAAAAAACGAAGAACCCAGATTTACCTGTATTTCGCTGTTGTCTCTGAAGACTGTGTGATTGCCAACCATGACCGCTAGAGCCATGCAAAGGTTGACTCGTAGAGCGTAGAGATTTGCGTATCCAAACATTAAAAACACACCAACCAAGTAACGCGCTGGAATAAAACACTTTGCTTTACATGGACAAGGGTTCCACAATATTGCTGCTTTTCTGGGACTTTCTCGTTGACTGTTCTCGGGTCCATATTTCTGGGATTCCTTTAGATCAGCTGGTTTGGTCTCCATCAATCTTTTGTTTCAATATGAAAAGAAATACTCATAGTGTGATAGTTTCCCTTGAATATTTCTTTCTCTATAGGAAGTGGCCATGAAAGCGATTGTAGAGGAACGTTAGAAGTGCCACCTAGTGCATTGCCCGTTTCGAACGCGTTTCAAACTTAATGCTACTCCGTGCTTAGCTGGTTCGACTGTAGCACTGCTCTTACCACGACGACTGTAGACGGCTTTCAGGCGTCGAATTTAAATTAATCGAATGAAATAGCTGCTGTCTAAAACGACGCGAAAATAAAATAAACCCGATGCCGCCACTCTATTCTAATGTATATTATAAAAAATCATGAATGGAAGAATTGAGTTCGGCCTTGTTTTAGCATGACCGTCCACACGTCGTTCACGGACCAAAGATGATGCCTAATGCTTACGAAAATACCACCTCTTTGATGACACAAATAGAGAAATATTTTTTGAATGAAGACTTGCTGGGTTTTGATAAAACAACAGAGCGAATCTTCTTCTCTTTTCAGTTAAGTTTACAAAGGTAAATCAACAAGATTTTCAGTCTTTTAAGAAAGGACTTAGCAGACACGAAAGAGCGAGTTGCAGAGGGGCAATTTTTGTCAGTAAGGGTAATTTACGTTCAATGCCTAAAAGTTTGAACCACCTTTAAAAAGTCCATGAACAACAAACAGTTTATATTACAGAGACAAAGAATTCCACGTACTGTCGGCCTGCAATAGCTGATCATAATCTTAGTTCGACCAACGGCAAGTAGTCTTGATATTATCACTTGCGGTGAAAATAAACATAAACACGAGAAAGTAGTTCCTTTCTAAGTTAACATAATTTAAGCGGATCCGAATTCACAATTCTGTTTACTCATTGATCCAAAAGATATTCAACAGCTTTGTAACTGATTCACTGATTAGTGACGCTCCACTGCATGATCTTCAACCTTTACCTACCTAGTACTGAGATTTATCGTGAGAACTGCAAAACTGCGAAAAAGGGGGGCATTCAATGGGGAGAGTATTTTACTTTCCGAGTATTACTCGCATCCAAGATTAAGGAAATTCAGTAACTTACCACAGTAACAACTCTTGATTTGTATGCAAAACCCTTTGTCTGGCCAGGAATTCGGCAAATATAAGTACGATTTTGGCAAAGTAATGCCGGCCACTGTACAGACACCACAAGCCGGTGCATGGGATTACAAGGCCGTGGCGTTTTTTTTTTTTTTACCCTCTAGCGTTACGATAAAGAGAGACCCTTGATTTGAGTTTAGCCAAGTAGCACAGGTTACATACCCCTCAAAACCCAGACGCATTTGCGACACATTACGTCTGCACGAATTTACGAGGCTTATTTCTTTATTTCATTTGGGACTACCGAGTCTGCCATTTCCTAACAGCCTCGATCCCAGAATCCTCTCTCTTCCTTTCTATTTTACCTCCTCCGCCGTTACGATGTTTTTCTATGTAATGAGGAAAGTAAATTCTCAATAGAAGACTGTTTAAACCTGACATGTTTTCGTACTTTCAATGCGCTTCACTGGAAAAGAGATGTGAGTAAAGAACCGTTCAGTTTATTTTGGAAACGAGTTAGCGACGACTTATCAAGTATTGGTGTATCAGCTGTGTTTCAATTTTAGCCTTGCTTTAATAACAGTAATAAATGGACCGGCAAAGCGAGTGCTCCTTCAAATTGGCGCCAAAAAAGGCGTGGCAGAGATGCGCGCACGCTTTCCTGTTTAATTTATTTCTTTGCCCCATTCTCCATAAATTATATTCCGCATAATTATGTCATTCCGCAAGCCATGCCACACGCCATTCCGCAAACTCATTCCGCCTTTTACCCTCACCGATACTAAAAAGACCGAAAAAGAGCCATAATGTAAATTACACAGAAAGCTGGCTTACAGCAATGAAGCATATATCTTATTGATAAAGTACTGTGGAAAATTATTTCATCATTGCTTATCTCAGTCTTTACGGGCACTTCATTTCGTGAAAACTGTAAGAGGCAGCTTTTGCTGTACTTAAATTTCGTTTTTTTTGGCAAAAGAGGAAAAAATTTCCTAAAATAAATATGGTGTCAAGGAAGACAAAGAGAAGTCGGCTTTCCCACGGGAAGGATGCCGGGCCAAATGCGGGATTACTAATCAGTAGGGGAAATCAGAGACCTCGCGCGATGCACTACAATCTAACACGCGAAACTGACGCTGAGGACTGTAATCTCGATCATTTAAAGCGAACCTAAGCAAGAACAGAAATAATATACTAGTGTTAATTGCCGGCCGGGGACTCGACTCCACCGTATAGGACAACCTCGTTCCCAGGGCTTTACCTCTCTCATTTTCTAAGGCAGAATCGTTGGAGGCGACGAAGTTGCGTGCAAGAAAAAACTATACCCGTGGTCTTGAGTACGAACCGAAGCCGAATGTCGAGGGCAATACTTAAGACCGAGGGCATAGATTTTTCCCTTTACGGACAGACCAAGGAGGGGAAAAAATACACTAAAAAGCGTAGTTCTGTTCTCGCTTACTTTCACCTTAAAATTGGCTTGCATGATTTTATTTTTTCAAATTTGCGTAAAGAATTTTACTGAAACCTTCAAAAATGTAGTGTGTTAACGCAGCTCGCAAATGGCAAACTAATGAATCCACCGAGGCCGATATATGTACTGTCGATATCTGTACAACTGTAGCCAGTTGTAATGATATCGCCTTCCAAATTTGGTCAACGGTGACTGGTTATGAAGAACAATTAGCCGAAGGAAATTTAGCCTATCAGAAACGGAGAAATCTTTTGAATGAATTACAACTATTTACTCGATGGCGAGGAAATATCATTTTCGAATGACAAGAAAAATATCTCACTTGCTCGCTGCAATCACTCGTGAGATACTATATATTCTTGCTTCTAGAACATAGAATTCATACCCCAGAGCTAACGTGTTACTTTCTTTTTATTGTATCAACAATATAATAAACACACATGGTAGAGATCAGATGGAAAAGTTGACTTTAATACTAATACTGGCCATTCTAGCTAATACAGCAATACAGTATACCCGGTGCCCATAGGTGGTCGATTGCCAAATTTCGGGTGAACTGGTTGTTTACAATTATAAAGAGAACTCCTTTACCACCTGACTGAATAAAATCATGCGCGGGATTATTTTCAACCTCTTTTAAATACGTACGAACGTGTGAAGGCCACGCATTTTTAAGCGCGATCAAAGTCAACTTGCAAATTTACCTTTCACATTTGGTAGTTATGCAAAAACTTTGAGTAGATCTCTCGAATTTAAAGCAAGCCTCGTCAGTTGAGGTTTCTGTCCTTCTTGCCATAAAATAACAATAAACTTTATTGAATTGTCAGGATATTTAGCTTACAAGCTAATTGGGGACACAAAAGACGGACTGCAATACATATCTACTTTATTTTCTCTTGATATCTATTGTTTATCTCATAGTTAAATAGAGCATAGTTTATTACGGCCCAGCTCTCTTGGAAAGCAGACCTATTTCTACCTATTTCTTCTCCATTCACATTATATACGAAGTGGCCATGTAATTCTTTTTGTGATATTATATTATTTCCAAACTACTTGGTGAGAGCCAAGGAACACCCTATGTTTGATTTCCTCTCCTTTATATCTCAGTCCCTTTCTTAAAATTCTTGCAGAGCCCAACCCTGTTCATTCCTGGATCATTTTCACGAAGACTCCCACTTCAATAACCTTTACAAAGACGGATTCCAATCGTGACGTTATTGCTCGTTATTGTCAATCCTAACACATAAGCAAAATACAGCATCCCAGGTTCCCGAAAATAGTGCTAGTATCGTTTCCGCGAGTGTTTTAACTCCCATAAAACACGTCATTCTATATAATAAATAATAATGATATTGGGCGCTTTCCATTCAATTTTGGTTGGTACATTCAATGGAACGGACCATTTTGGTTTGGTCCCAGCGAAATATTGGGGAGCAGCTTTGAATGGTCCACTTTGACCGGTCCGGTCATGTCGGTCGGTCGGACCAAAATGTCCCTTTCCATTTGTCAAAATTGTTGTCCTCAGTACCGCTCTTTTGTGTCTTTTGTATCCCGCTTACAAGAACAATAACCAAACGTGCGTCTGTGCAACCGGAATATGTACCGCGAAATGAACACGTAGAATTTCCGAAATTTCAGAGCGGAATTTTTGTTAAATGGAAAGCGCTTATTAATAATAGTAATAATAATAATAATAAATATTTGTAAAATTTAAATAAATAAATAGTTAAATCATAAATAAATGAATCAGTTCCAGCATAATTCAGTCACAATCTGAATCTTGTTGACTTAGATTATTATATTTTCTATCTGACGACCATGGCTGCTTTTCCCCTGAGCTGAACACAATGACAGGCGCGTCCCCAGCAATGATCCCAAAAATCATAGCGGAACGCATTTCGGCTCCAATTCACTTCCCGTTTTTAAAGTGACGAATGGAAAGTTGTTACCTACTTGTTAAAAGTATCATTATCTATTTAATATGTATCTTTAATAAACTAGGGCAAAACGAGAGCATTACCTATTATATGACCACTTTCCTCACTGTTTCTGTGCTGAGATAATGTTCACGAAAATAGTCCGCCAGTTGAGCTCCAGCTAGCGTTACGAAAAATGTAACGACGTAAGGTATGGTTGATGTAACGGACGTCTGAAGGTAGAAATATTATGAAGCAAATAAACAATAAGCTTTAGATGAAAGCAGATACACTTTCAAGCTTAGATATTAGTAGACAAAATATAACAGAGCAGTGCAAATTCCTTACTCATTTTTATAGCTGTCCTCCAATAAAAAGTTTGTAAAAAGAGGTATTTTATATTAAAGACCTTTAGATTAACGAGATTGAACTTAAAGTTTTTGCGCGTATTCTAAAAAACGAGACCCCAGAAATCTTCTTTTTACTTTTTTTCACATAAATGTTAGTACGATTGTCTATGCTGAAGGAGGTTAG